GGGAACGGCGGCGACGAGTCTCGACCTCCGAGCTTTCGGCGCTTCTTTTTGGTTGAAGACATAACAGCAGCGTGCGCGAGATCGGAGCGGACTCGGGAGCGTGGAGCTGCGAGTTGGGGCCTTATAAAGTTCAGGTAACCCCTTATAGTTTCATTCGCTTCGCAGTTATATACCCTTATTTGTTTTTTCGCAGCTTTTACGTAGCCTAGAAGTTGTTTAAAATTGAAACCTGGACAAATTTTCGTTTTAGGTTACTTTAAAATTTTATTTGTAAAAAATAATCTATTTCAAAAATAATTGTCAATTGGCCGAAAACGAGTCGAATTTGACGAAAAAACATTCAAAACTTCATGTGACTTTAAATCCCGTGAAGCTTAAGCCCCCATTACTAACTTAAATTTAAGTTAGTAATGGAATTAAGTTAATAACGGGGGTTTAAACTTCACAGGACTTGAAGTCCCATGAAGTTTTGAATGTTTTTTGTCAAATTCAACTCAGTTTGAATTTGACAAATATTTTCGAAGTAGGTCATTTTTTACAAATAAGTTTCTAAACAAGTCTACTTTGAAAATTTGTCTTTGAAACTTCGTTGCCCAGGACTGTTCAAATGTGATTTTCACTTGCTTAGTTTGTCTATTTTAACTGAGTATATTCGTTAAAATTTACATAACCTAATTTAAGAAATCGAGCGTATAGACCGTGATTTGAGCCAATAGATTGAAAAGCTTGGCGCGTGACAAATTTTAGTAGAGACCGACTCTCTTGGCTTTTACTTGTTGGCGCGTGACAAATTTTATTAGTTTGTTGTTTAGGCAATGAACATCTTACATAAACATTAAATATACCAAATTAGCAACATATTACGAAAGAGTTAATTTGCGGATAGACTCATGCACGTACTATCGTCAAATTGAACTTGTTATTCTTGTATTGTTATTCTTGTAGTGAAAATTTATTGTCACGCCTATATTACTATACGCGTCATATCAGAACTGTCCGCATGTGAAGGGCAATTCTAAACATGTTTTCCCCCTATACGTTTGTATGTGTGGGTGTGGGTGGTGGTGGGGGGTTGTATTGAAGTGCTCCAAATTGCCTACTCAGATGCGGGGTGCATATAGACCCTTCGAGGATGGCAAAAATAATTTCACTCAGGGCTGAACAACAAACTCCACTGTTAGCAAATTCAATATAGCCGTAGTAAAACTGTGAGAATACTACCAGAACCATCCCTTTAGAAATGGGATAGTTTACGCCACTACTAATGTAAGGGCCCGTTTGGTTTGACAAAAATACCGAAAAGTGAGAATAGATCTTATAAATTTAACTTCTAAAATATGAAATAGAAAGTAGTGGAAGTAATAATTTTTTTTCACATGTTTTTTGAAGTAGTGGAAAAAATACTTCTTATTCTTCATTCTCTCTCTTTTTTTGATAGCAATGAAAAGTTGTTAGGAAATAACTAGTAAATAAAATATTAATAAGGAAAAAATATTTATTTCCTAATTAATACACATTTCACCTAGTTTCTGTCTACTTTCGAGCCTTCAGGGGTGAAAAATTATTTAGAAATTAAAGATGACACGTAGACATCACATCAGCGTTTAAGGAAGTAGTGGAAATAGTTTTTTTCACAGAAACAAATTTTTTTTCCCAGAAATAATAGAAGTAACATTTATTTCTTTTACTTCAGCTACTTCATGATTACTTCCGTGTAAACAAACAAACCCTAATTCCTAATTCTCTAATTGTTCATATATGATATAGATCATCCTTTTATATAGGGCGCTCTAAGGGGGTGTTTGTTTTAAAAAAAATTTGGCATTTGGGTGGGATTTCAAATTCTGGGATCAAAAAGTGGGTTTTTTGGGTTTTAGAATTCCATAAAACTCGTTTGTTTCAAAACAAATTTTTGAATATCAAATTCCCAAATAATAAAAAAATATTATATTTAAGGATTTGTGAAATCTTTTTTTTTGGATGGGATGTGGGGTGAATTTCAAAAGTGTTAGACAAATTAAGGATTTCAAATTCCAAAGAGTTTGAAACAAACAAAAATATTACAAATTATAGTATTCCAAATTCCAAAATATTGTTGAAATAAACAAAGTTTTAAGAATCCCAACCCATAAAAATTACCTATGTATTTCAAATCCCATGGTGAAATCCATATCCTAAAATTATAGGATTTTAAACAAACACCCCCTAATAGAATCTGTGCTCATAGCAAAGCATCTCGATTATTAATACCATATATAAATTAACAGAACAATTTTTCAAAACAGCCTCAAAACAGTTTTAAATTTTCAAAATTGACCCATTTTTTTACCAAAATCGACTCACTTTTTGCCACGTCAGCTTAATCTCATTTCCTAATTAGTCGGGGTTGCCAACCCTACCTATTTAGGACATAAAAAGTCAGGTTTAAGGTTTCTAATTGGGGTTTAACAACCTCCTAAACGGTCGGAGTTGACAACCCGACTGTTTAGGAATGAGATTAAGCTGACGTGACAAAAAGTGGATCAATTTTATTTAAAAAAAAAATGGGTCGGTTTTGAAAATAAAAAACTGGTTTGAGACTGTTTTGAAAATTTATTCAAATTAACACGCATTAGCTGCGAAGGAACATAGTTGAATATGTCCACATCATTTTAATGCTAATCGCTGGTGTCCATCTTCTTTTTTAAGTAGCGGGCATAAATCGAACGAAGGTTCGGTGCTGTTGGATTAGTGTTCATCTTAAACCCTAATTCCTCGTTTAAATTGTAAGGCCACGTCATCCCCAAAATCCCCCTCAAAATTTACTGCTGAAGCCTGAACCCCAGCATCCGATTCCCCAGTCGCGGGAAAAACTTCGATCCCCTTCAAAGGTGAAGTCTTTCTCTCTCTTTCGCTGAGAATTTTACGTTATTTTTCTTATAATTTCTGCCTCGAATTTGGACTATTTATGGATTAGACTTGATGCTTATATCTCTCTTTGTTGTGAAAATTGTCGATTATGTTTCGCTTCTGACTCTAATTCTCTCTCTATTTTTTTTTTTTTGATAATTAGGGCTTGACTTCATAGCTGTGTTATTTTCAATTCATTGAAAGATTATTAAGAATTATGTTGATTCATCGCATGACGCTCTGTTCAGCCATCTACAAATGAAGTTCTGAATTATCTATATGATCATTACTGTATTTGGAAATGAAAGTTTGCGATTTGTCGGACAAAATTGAAGAGGTTTCGGCGATTCATGGTATTTCTTATCAATCTTTGAACATCTTTGAACGCCTTCATGTTAGATTAGGTAAATGCAGTTTTTGGTGCAACACCGAAGTTGAAGATAATGGAGCTGTTTTGAGTAGGATAGAACTCAATTTATCTTTTTTTGTCCATTTCCGCCCGTTTATATAAATCCCTGCGAAGTACTTTTATTCTTTGATCCTCCAATGCTTTCATCTCCCTAAGTTAAAGGCTAATGGTTACGCTTGAATTTTTAACGGAGTTCAACACGACGTGCCTGAGTCAATCTCCTTAGCTGAAATATAAGTGGCTTGATCACTGTTATTAATGGGTGAGGCGCAACATGGGGCGCAAAGTCCTTTTACGTGCACATGTGCGCAAGGGTTAAGGTGATGGGTGCCCGAATGAGCAAGGCACATATTGAATCCATAGTTTTTCAAATAGATAATCAAGCACAAAAGAACATGTTTATGACTTTTCACATAAAATGCCAAGATAAATAATATCTACTATAAAGTCATAGAAGAATGTCTTATATCACTAAACATAGTGGCGAAGTTTGATTGTCCAAATCAAAAGTCGAATCAAGACTAATATCAAGGCAAAATCAAATAGTAAATGTGAAACTAGTTCGGGTCCTCGATCGGGCTACTAAAAGGGCCTAATAGGTTTATTTTTCTTTTTGGGATATGAGTTAGCGGGTATAAATACCCGATTGAAATGTTTAAAAACAAAATTATAAGAGGCTATGCATTGCATGAGCCATGCGCAAAGCAAGCGGCATTTGTGTGGCAAAAAAGACATTGCCTCAGAATTGTGAAGTGCCCTGTATCAGATGTGGGGTGACATGTGCCTGCACATGTAAGATGCAAAAAGGTGCCGCTCACATTTGCTACATCACAGGGCGCATGAGGCGCAGTTAGGCGTGCGCCTTTGGTAACACAGGGCTTGATATCATGATAATACCAGGTTTCAGTGTTTCACCTATATAACCAAGTCTTGAGGCAAAGCATGTTCGATTCACCATCCCATGACATGTCCCCACTTTCTTCATGTTTTAGTGCTCATTCAAATGGGAATATCTAAAATAAAATTTCCCTCCGTACATACGATGGCCCCCTTTCGCATGAGAGAAACAACCTCACGTTTAAGCCGTGACTCTCCCTGCTCTTTGATCTTCTTGAAAACTTAATGAATTGAAAGAAGCTAGTTTGCATATGAAGAAACTCCTATAAGCATTAAATTATGCCATGTTGCAAGCATTAAATTTATGCCATGTTGCAAACCAGTGTAATCTAGTTCATAGAACAGTGTGCACTATTGGTTGTTGTTACTTGTCCAAAAGTTCATATGGTTTTCCAGTTTTAGATTCTGGTTATCTCACCAAGTGCATATACAGGTTTTGATGTGGATTTTTCTTTAAATTACCAATCTCTAAGTGATCAAGGCTGTTGTACAAAATATTTTATGAATAAAGACCAATGTTATATATGAACCATACTCCAAGTCTTGCAAATCACTTGAATAACATACTAGATTCAGTCTCAGCCTCACTGCTTGCTAGCATTTCACATGGAGGGAATAAAACAGTATTGAGTCCCAAAGAGGGCATCTGCTACCAGATGCATCAAATGAGAGGATAAATAATGAGGGTAGTGTCTGCCTGAGACGAGCCTCTGTTATAGGTTTTATCTGACAGGATTAGTTAAGTATTTATTTATTTTGAGGAGATTTGTATGGTAAAAATTCTGGCAGTGTAATGCGTATACATCATTTTGCATCACCATCGATGAATTCTCTGGGAATTTTGGGCTCTAGCCCATACTTGCTATAACCAATGGCAATTGCTCAGTTTTAATGTGGATCTTGAATGTGAAAGCATTACTCCTCTTGTTACAGAAAACACAAATAGAAAGATGTCAAAATCAATTGCAGACACAAACATCCTCGGACAGCAACATATGATCCCTTATTATTCAGCGAAAAACAGATAACAAAGAAAGAAAACAGAGAACTACAATCAGAAGAAATCATTAGGCATTGGTAGATCTTAAAGTTGGTGTAATGTTATTTTTAAACCCTCATATCATAGATATTTACAGAATCCTAGGAAGGTACTCTATATAAAATTTCTGTCTTGCAGCGGTAAATTCTGTCTGGTTCTTATTTACTGGAATTTGCAGAGATGCGAGAGCGTTGATGCCTTTGGTTTGCTTTCTTTCTTGGTAAAATACTAAAAATAACTACTAATCGATGCATGTTTGTAGATTACTGCCTGCATTGTTTGGATTTGGAGCAAATCGGACCATGGCAGACTTGCCACGCTTTGTAGTTGCCTGCCTGAGCACAGGAAGAATTGCTCTTTTGGCAATAATGATTTCTGTTGGAATCATATTACAATTTCTGGTGAGTAAATACTGTAAACTTGTAGTGTCATCGTTCTCGAAAGCTTATTTGAAGGTAAATGCTCAGCAACTTCTGCTTTTTTAAAGGGAGTTAATTACTCCTCTTCAACCACTCAAACCTTTAAGACCACTCGTCACAGTATAACACTTTTGTCGACCTGGTTCCTTAGTTAATTTATCTTTCTTCTCTTGAGAGTGAAGATTGGGAGCTTCGAAGTAGATCCTTCTTTTGTTCATAATTCTCAAGCCTGTAGTCCAGCATAGGCCTACTCGCTCTGAGCTAGTTTGATCATTCTCACTATTCTTGTTGGCAATATTTGTGGTAGATCCTTACGTGTTTCTGTGGATGATGCAGGCATGTTCTTTATACAATAACTGGTGGCCTATGTTAACAGGTAATATGTATATACCAGCTTTACAGTACACATTATAAGTTGAGCTGATATCTAGATGTGAAAAAATAAGATCTATTCATCATTGCATGTCATCCAAATTGTGAATCTGCATTGTTTAGTCATAATTTATGTCTTCATTGCACAACGGATAGCACCACTAGATACAATGAAAGAGGGGAAAAAGTTCTATAGTTGTAGATGTGCAGAGAACAATAATAGGTGGAATGAGTTAGCAACAAGATGGTAAGTTGCCATTTACACTTGGAAGACAGCGAGCTTTCACCGACAAGACAACAGCCTGCTACAAATACACCATCACTGGGAGAATGCGAAAGTCGTTCCTAAATGTTTTGATTATTATGTCCTGTTGAGAACATCAACATCTGTTTAATATTTATTTACTCAGTATGGTGGCTAGGATAATAGATGAATTATGTTGGTTTCCGATAGCTTCGTTTGTTATGCACTCTTTAAGTCATTAAAATGAAGTACTGCTTCATTAAAAAAAAACCATTAGTATTTGCTTTGATGTATTACTAGCTTGCTTCTTCCTTCCACTCGTGAAAAGTCATCAAGTTCTAAAAGTGAAACGAAGGATCCAGAATATACAGATACTGACACCAAAACCCATTGCTTAAAGTTGATAATTTGGGAGATGAACTTTAATGTTTCATGTGGGTAAGGTAAAAATTAGTTTTATATCCTCAAGAAAAGAAAAGAGAAGAAAAACTGTGGATGTTAGCTGTGTTGGTAGCTAGACATTTTGCATTATTGGAAAATGTATTAGCATATTGCGAGCAGTAGTATTATTGTCCTCGTGCATCCATTTTAAGAGCTTGAGGCTTGTAAGTGATACATAATCATTGAATCATATCTTTTGGACATTTACCTTATAACTATCTTATTGGATCAATTTAGTGATCACTGTATTTGACTAGAAAATGTTAGGATAAATCCCATAACAATTGTAAACCAAGTTATAAATCCCAAAGCACCAAGTAAGATGATTTATAAGAGTTTTAAATTTCAACTTGACATAACATAAAGGGGTATTGGGTGAATGGATAGATAAATTTATGACCTTTGGTATGACACAAATTTCTGTTAACATACCACAGAATTAAGGTCATATAAAATACACAGTCCACACGACTAAATTACCAGATTGGCACTAAAAGAAGTACCCCATGATCAATGAGGTATTAAAATTATCTCCAGCGATAATAAGGTATTTAAACTTGCACGATGAAACAAATAGGTTTAAAAATGAAAATTCCAGCCATTTTTCTGGTGATTACTCAGGTAATCTACCACATGTGCTTAGATGACATGTTTATAATGACATGACAACTGTAATGTTTATGATGACGTGACAACTGTAGTTAGACTCATTCAACCCATTAGGAGTAGTGATTTTCAAATTAGGTTTAAAAAAAGATGGATTTTTTTAAAGTTTGGGACTCATTCCTTCAAATTGGTGGTTCTTCATTGCTTGAGCTCATTCTTCATTGTTCTCAAGCAATGGAGAAACCTAATTTGATGGAAGAAGGAGAAGAAGCTCCCAAATTAAAAACCCCCTCTTTGCTTTTACACTAATTTAAAAATATACCCCCTAATGGTTTGAATTAGGCTAACTACAGTTGCCATGTTATCATAAATATGCCGCATAAGCGTCATGTGACAGATTATATGAGTGATTGCCAGAAAAGTTGGCCGGAAAATTTATTTTTGGGCTTATTTGTCTCATCGTGTAAGTTTAAATATTTTGTTGCTGCCAGAGATAATTTTAATACCAATCTGGTCATTGAGTACTACTTTTAATACCAATCTGGTAATTTAGCCAAGTCCACAATAAATGCATTGCATTAATCAAATTACAAAATGGTAAGGTTTAGTTTTGTTCAGTAGATGTTGTCTACATCACAAGAAGAATAAAAGAAAATAATGAACATAAAATGATTTCCTTGAATTTGAACGGTCATGATGAAGAATGATTTCATTGATTCTATAAATCCGTCTAAAGTTTGAACCGATGGGAAACTCATTAAAAAAAAGAGTAGATTCTGCTCCGACCCATGCCTAATATGATTTCATAGTTGTTAATTTTTGGAGATAACATAGATCCAATCCTGTCCGACCTATTTATTGCTACTACAGTTCAGAGGAGGGTTAAAAAAAGGGAGTTTGAAGAAGTTGGGTTTTCAGATCTTTGTATCAGCATGGAGTAAAAGGGTCCTCTAGTTAGTTAATAAATCATAATATTTCACGAACTCCGGATGCCTCGAGTCTGGATGCCCTCATGCTGACTCCAACTAGTTATTATTCCATTCATCTTCATTCTATCATGAGTTTTTTTCTGTGTCAGCAGGATGTTAATGTTTTCTCTGTACTGTCGAGCGTATTTCGTGAACTATTGAAAATAGCAATTGAAATTTAGCCAGCAAGTGCATCTTATACATCATGGACTATATTAACTGTGTAATTTTTGATTTTGCCTGACCTGTGAATGATACATCTTCAAAAAGATTGAATCCATAGAGCCTCTTGCTTTCTCAAGGAAGAACTATTTGGAAAGCTGCCTTTTAATAATATCGAATGATTTGGTGCAGTTTTGACGTATATAATTCTTCCAATGCCTCTGATATTCTTCGCGGGCTCTAACTCTGCATCAATAATGCCTAGTGATGGAAATAGGTCGGTATCTTTTATTATTTATCTCGCACTAACTTAATAGTGCTAAGGAGTTACTTTTCTGTTACCCTCAATTTTGAGTTCAAATTCATGGCAACAGCTGGTTAAATTTCGCCAAGTTCTTGACTGGAGCTTCTATAGTAGGGAGCATCGCGATACCCTCCATCTTAAAGCATGCGGATGTCATCGGATGGGGAGCTCTCGCAATGGAGTTCTCATCCTTCTTAAGCTTTGCAGTGGCAATTCTTTGTTTCTTGGGGACAAACAATGATGATGAGTACGGCCGCTTCTGAAAGTTTCAAATATTTGGTGTATTTTTGAGTTTGCTAGAGACCTGTATGCGTATCATATGTGCATGTTATGTATACGCAGAAGTCCTAGTAGATACCCTCTTATGTATCCACTCTGTATCCACTTTTGGAACAATGTAAATATGCATGCTGGATTATTTTGGGTGTATATTAATCACGTCAACAACTCTCCCTTAATTTGTGAGTACAGTTCAATTCAAATATAATTCAATCTTCCATGGGATTCGCTAATTTTTGCACCACTTCACTCGTGGGCTAACCAATTCACAAACTTTTGTACCACTTCACTTGCGGGCTAACCAAACCATGCATTCAGCACATAGCTATCAAATATCCGTAGGAACTTCCGTGGCTTCACTCATGGTGGCTAATTAAACTATATCACTCCTACGGGACTCCGTGGATTCTCCCGACACCTTTGGGCTTCACATCGAAGATCAACTTTTTTTAAGTACTTAGATCATGACCTTAGCTCTGATACCATTGTTGGGGGGAAAATCGGGACCAATCTAGAGTTGATGGGCCTTAAACAGAAGTTGTGAATCAATTTTAACCCAAAAGCTATATGTATCATGTATTGACCCAAGCTCCTATTTAAACTCATCACTCTTTCTTATCTTATCCGATGTGTGACTATACTCACATATTAATCACGTCAACAACTGTGCTGACTTTCTTTTGCCCTTTTTTAATCACGAGTTTAGTTTTAAGTTTATGATGGATTTTTGTAGTTGATTCGTGGTTAAATCATACTTTTTTTTTAAACATTCAAGTGACATTTTCCACAGTTGCATGATCTATGATATCAATGTGCAAAATTTAGAAACTTTATGGTATTTTTTCGCACCAAGATACAACTTATAGTATTTAGCTGCATCAAGTGGGAAACAACGAATAATTTACCAGATTCGGAGAGTTTTTAGGAGAAAGATGGTGCAAATTTAACAATTCTGAAAGATCATAGGCGAACTCTCACCTCCAGCGAGGAAAAAAGGGTCTTATTATCATTGGGACACAAGTTAAAACACCACCATATTGATGCCGGATCTTATTGAAAAATAGGGTAACATTAGAATACTAATCTATTAATTTAGCCAGTGGGAAACTATATGGTGTTTAAGTGCAAATTTACCCAAACAAACATGAAATTTATTTTCTCCCTCCAAACCCATTAACCCATCAACGCCCCAATCTCTCTCTCTCTCTCTCTCTCTCTCATCAAACAAAGTCAAAATCTCTACCATCTCCAAAGAAAACAATGAAGCTCAAAGAAATTGAGAAATGGCCATCATCGCCCTCGGGCCTGTCAATGAACAGCGGCAGCCCTAGACGGTCGCTGAGCTTCCTGAGAGAGAGGAGAGCTACGGTCTCGATATCGGATCCGGAGGAGAAAGCTAACGGGTTCGCCCGACAACACGGACCCAAACCCTCTGAGGTTTATGGGTTCGTCGGCTCAATCACCACCGTTATCGCCACCGGTATAATTATTTCTCACCCTTCTCTCGTTTTTCTCGTCAAATTGCGATTTGATGCCCTAAAGTTTCATTCTTTTTTTTTTTGCTTTTGATGTACCCTGGAGTCTAAATTCCCCACTTTTTATTGGACTGCAACCTAATGTTTGGGGAATTGAAGAAATGGGTCAATGTTCGCTTGATGTTACTGAAGGTATTGAAGTTTAAAATGGTGAAATTTTTGGGCTAATTCGAACTTCAGGGGATCAAAGTTAGATATTGGCGAGACTTTAGGGCAGGGATCGGTGTTTGTTTCAAATCCCAAAATTTATGGATATGGATTTCACCATAGAATTTGAAATCCATAAATTTTTTTGTGGGTTTTGGAATCTCTAAAATTTTGTTTGTTTCATCAATATTTTGGGATTTGGAATACCAAAATTTGTAATATTATGTTTGTTTCATCAATATTTTGGGATTTGGAATACTATAATTTGTAATATTTTGTTTGTTTCATCAATATTTTGGAATTTGGAATACTATAAATTATATATTATAATATTATATAATATATATTATATAATGTATATATAATATATATATATATATATATTATAGATATATTAAATATTATATATATATAATATATTATATATTATATATACATATATATTATATTATATATTATAATATATAATACATATATAATATTATATATAATATATATAAATTGCTACAGTAATTTACTGTAATATTTACTACAGCATGAACAGTGATTCTTGGGTCCTCCTATATATATATATATATATATTATTTATATATTAATTAATACCATATAAATGATATAAATATAATATATTAATATATAATAATATATAAGTTATATATATTATATATTATTATATAATTTATATATAGATATATATATATTATATATATATAATATTTTTATATAATTATATATTGCTACAGTTAATTTGACTGTAATATTTACTACAGCAGAACAGTAATTATATATATATATGCCTACGGTACTTTACTACAGGCATGAAATGATTATTGTCTCCTCCTATATTAATACTTTAATATTATATATAATATTAGTTTATACTATATATTATATATATATATATAATTTATATAATATAAATATATATAATATTATATGTATTAATATATTATATATCTTCATATATAACTATTATACATATTATAAATATTAAATGTAATATACATAATATATAAATGCTATAAGTAATTTATAATATAGTATTATATATAATATATATTTATAATATATATTATAATAATGTAATATATATTATATATTATATAATATATATTATATATATATATAATATCATATATATATTATATATAATAATGTATCATATATAATATATATATAATGCTACATGTATTTATCTGCAGCTTTACACAGTGTGAACAGTGATTCTTAAGGTCCTCCTAATATAATATATATATTATATTTTTATAATATATTATATAATTATATTATTATAATATATATATATTATGTATGTATAATATATTATTATATATAATATATATAATATATGCTAGCATTAATTTACTGGGCATGCTTTACTACAGCATGAACACGTGAACATTGATATAATAAGATAATATAAAAATACTATATATATTATAGATTAATGATACAATATATTATATAATATATTATTATATATATAATATTATATATTATGTATATATTATTATATTATATTATATATATATATTATTTATTATATAATATAATATATTATATATATATAATGCTACAGTAATTTACTGCAGCATTTACTATAGCATGAACAGTGATTCTTGGGTCCTCCTATTATTATAGAGGAATAGATGTATTATATTAAATATTATATTATTATAATATTATATATAATATATTAATCTTATATTAATCTTATATTATTAGCATTAATACATCAATATCCAACCTACATCCTCTCTCAATTGTAGAATTTCACAAATTCTAAAATATAATAGTTTTTTTATTATTTGGGGATTCAATATCCCAAAATTGATTGTGAAACAAACATGGTTTATGGAATTCTAAAACCCAAAAAACTTGTAATCCACCTTATATCCCAAAAAAAGGACAAAACAAAAGAGAGGATTTCACAAATCCTAAAAATATATTATTTGTTTATAATTTAGGGATTCAATATCCCAAAATTAATTTTGAAACAAACAAAGTTTATGGAATCCCAAAACTCAAAAAGAGCACTTTTTACATCCCAAAACTTGAAATCCCCCCTATATCCCAAAAAAAAAAAAAAAAACACCCTTATTATAATTATGTGTTATTTGCGTATATAGCCCTTAAATCATGGGTATTTGCAAACATACCGCCAAATCTTAGTACTTGCAGAACTGCCCCAAATCATCAACTTTGTGAAAAAAATGCCCCTAAAATCAATAAATCATCAACTTGGTCCTAAACTTTTGACTATTTTTTACATTGCGATTACGGCTTAGCTTATCAATGCTTTGAGGGTAAATTTTTCCAAACTTGATGATTTGAATGGTAGTTTTGCAAATACTAAGATCTGGATGGTATTTTTTCCAAATATCCATGATTAAGCGGTATACATGCAAATAACCCTTATTATTTTTACTCCTTTAAGTTATTTATTGATTATTTATCTTTGATGAGGCAGTGATCTACTTGGTGTGGGCTTATACTCCTGAGCCGTGGCTACATTCTGTAGGGATCACTTATTACCCAAACAAGTCCGTAATATTTCCCTCTTCTTATTCATTTTAGTTGAGAATCTTTTAACTCCAATCGGATTCGTAGCTTTCACCTGTACTATGCATTTATGCTACTCCTTTGCCTTTCAGCAAAGTTAAATCGATTGTTTTGAGTAGATCGTCTTCTTTTATTACTTTTATTACCAAACAGAATCATGGCTCGAATTGTTTCTGTTTTCAGATATTGGGCATTGGCAATTCCAGCTTTTGCTATGGTTAGTGTGGTTCTCGGGATGGTTTTTTACTTGGGATTGAATTTTATGGTCACCCCGCCTCCAACTTCCTATTATACAATGTTCGGTAAGTAGTTTAAGTTATTTACTCAGTCACTGAAGTTATTTATTGTAGGAAAAAAAATAATAAAAGTTTCAATTTAAACTGACTTATATTCGATGTACCAATAAAGACAACCCAAAACTGAATGATCTGAAACCTTGTTCACTACTTCAAAAGCATGTGCATGACGTAATGTATACAATTTGGTGAACCTTTAAACTGAGTTATTTTCAATGTACACATTTCGTTCTTTGTGACGAGCTGAATGATGAAAAAGAACATACATTGTCCAAAGTCTAGAAGTAGGAATGATATAATGATTTGAAGAATCTTAGAATTCAGTTGCGCATGGTGATGCATGAATGCATGTTAGCCCTCTTGTATGATTGAACAGTATTTCATAGGCAAGTAATCCATTATGTTGCTTAGCCAAAAGAAAAAGAAAAGACTTAATTTTCTAATCAACTTGTGCAGTAGCAGACACAAACGGTTGCAGCACTACTCATCTCTAATACCTGAAAGAGCAAATTGATTGAATGGTAATAATTAACAACATTATCTGTTATGATCTTTTGGGATGTTGAAGTCTTACTGCACGTATAATGCTGTATAGCTATCTATTACCTGTAGCTATATTTTTCTCAAATCCGACAAATACTTTTCAGGTTCCTTGGCTTTTATGCTATAATGCCACAGTAGGCTACCTATATCGTGGATAAATTGTAATTTAAATACTGTTTTTCCCCAGAAAATTGCATCATAAATATTGCTCTATACAGTCACAAGACACAGAATATTTACTGAAAACCATTTTAGACAGTAAATCTTTATCTTTCTGTTGAGTCTCAGAACTTTCTTTGTTCATATTTGTTTTCAGATGAACATAGTCGAGAGCGATCCGTGTTAGTGTCCTCCGTAGAAGGAGAAGAACATCCAATCGAACCCATTTCTGACATTGGCATTGATCAAATAAACAATCAAATGTTTGGCAAAGCATTATAATCTGCTATCGAGTGGGAGATATTTAAGCACTGCGATACAATCTGTTCGTATTGATTCAACCGTGTTGATGAAAATTCAACTCAACATCTTTTACTAAAGGAACACAGTTGCAATGCAGATCAAAATGGTACATGATGTATGTTGTTGCTGCTCTTCTGTGAGAATTCTGGGTCGATTATATATCTACTGTAGAGTTTTATTGGAATGAATGTGCTTGTTCATCTTCAGGTTGTCATGAAGAGCTAACCGTGTAGTTGTCTTGAATATCCGAAGGTCTGATATCTTATATTCATAATAATAATAATAATAATAATGATAATAATGTGTATTTGAAGCTGCATGTTATTGAATACACTGACAAAGCCAATGGATATCTAGAGCACTGAAATGCATCAGGTGAAGTTGCAAATTTTCAGGAAGGGATGCTTCCCCTATTCTCCTCTGCAGTCTATAGACGTGAAAGCATAAATTATCCTGAATAATTACAATTAAAATACAAATGTTACTCATCAAAACTTCAAAGTACTATGGAAAATGCTAACCAGACATCCTCTATTTTCTTTTGCAGTCTATAGACGCGAAAGCATAAATTTGCCTAAATAATTGCAATTAAAAAACACATGTTACTCATCAAAACTTTGAAAGAAATTTGGAAAATGCTAACTAGACTCAGAAGAGTTTTAATACTCTCGTAACATATGACACAAATATGGGTCCATAGAAACTCAACAATTTATTATATTACAGTAGTACTACAATTTTTGCGGTCTTATTGTTAATCCTGAAGAAATTCATTTGTTGGAATTACTGCACACTCTGCTTCCATCTTGAAATTTTATGACCTTTTATTACTTGTTTATCACCGCGCAACGTGTAACAGTAAAACAAAAAGCTCAACTTTAACAACAGGACTGCACTTTTTCTCTTTGAGGCTTCATGAGCCATGAACTTCGAACATGAAGTCCTCGAAGTGGTTTTAGCTCGATACCTTCATACGCCTCTCTACCATAAAAGAGTCATTGCAGGGTAGATATCTGCTCATATACACCGATGGCAATACTTTGCAAATTAGCATTAAAATAACAAAGCAAGGAACATGATCCTTCTTGCTTAAATACAAGCAGACATTCAATTATACAATGATGGCCAGCAAAACCCATTCCATAAATATCATCAAATTTACACGAGTAACAAATAACAAACCCATAAACGTAAACAAATAACAGCTACAAGAGTGGGAGGAGGTAAGAAAGACTCCTTGTTTACAAACCAACTTAAGCCATCTCTCGAAACCTCGCAATCGCCTTCTTTTGTATGATGGTTTTATAACTATCCCCAGCTTGAGCCTCCAAGCTCGGATCTACCACCTTCCTTTGCCGACTTCCAAGCCCTGCTCTGTCATCCGCAACATTTGCCAGGACTGGCTCTTTGATGCCACTACCGTCTTTACCAAGCCCCTAAAAGTTGTTGAAGAAAGAAACCGCACCCATACAAATGGCACCAAAATCAACGTCAGAATAGGAAATTAAATTCAGTTACACGGGTAATCCACAATCTAATTGGATATTTCAGTCATAACCAGTGTAATTGGATTAAAAAAAGTTTTTGCCTCCTTGAGATAAGAAGAAACATGGCACCCTGGGGATTTAGGAAACAACAGGCACAAAATGTGTAGAAAAAAAAATGAGAATATTCAATGGACATGTGGATATACACAAGGAGATAGGATTATAGGAAGTTAGAGCTTGCTCCTAGAGTAGAATGAGAGAATCAATTGAGAAGTGAGAGTAGAATGAGAGAATCAATTGAGACCACCACTACAAATTGCAAGTTTGCAACAGTTGGAAGTGGTCTCTATAGCTCATGAGAACTTGATTGGAAGCAACAAAGGCCCACCATAATGGTTAATCTAGCAGAGGAGGTAACCCTTAACAGAATAACAAAGCTAATGAACAATATGAATCGCTGCTCAAAGAAATTTGCGATGACTGCTTTGTTGTTGTGTTGTAGGAAACATGACATCATACATCTAAGTTCTGTAAAATTTTCTTGCAATGCCTTGCAGGAGGGAAGTAAATTCAAAGTTTTTAAAGTCATACTCTAGGGAGAGAGGTTCGTAGGTAAAAAATGGATAATAATGTTCTCATTTGAAGGTAAAAATGGATAATAATGTTTTCATTTGTAGAGGAATACCACATGTGAACTTCAATATTCCATTTGAAAATCATGAAAATGTGATTTTCGAAATTCTATTTGGAAAGGAAGTATAACAATAGAAAATATAAGATAAAATCCTAAGTTAAATAATATAAATGAAATTTTAGGGGGGAAAACCAGATAACCAATCTTCGCAAAAAGAAATGCAATCATAGATAAGTGAAGATGATTTTATTTTATTTTTTTTTTTCAAAGAAAGGATATGTACCAACTGCTGATTTATACAGATAAAATAATAACAAACAGAAAAGAAATGGGAGGTACCAGTCCTTCTTGCCAGCCCATATTCCTCAGCATGCGATTACCAACATTGCTTTCATCAATGGCCCGGTCAGCAGTTATCACCTCAAAATTTTGGGCGTTAACATCACCAGTTGGACGTCCTCCCCCAACTCCAGGAGGGAAAGGCATAGAATCTGAGCCCTTTCTATATGCATATTCACAATCTTGACAAGCAATGGTATTTCTCAAAAGTCAATATACTTTGAACAGAGGAAAAAAAGAACCAACAAGCGAACTTGGCTGAACAACACTTGGGATTATTGCTGACAGTACTTAACAGAAACAAGACACCAGAGATTCAAGTAGCTAGCTCTAGTATCGTTAAGTCTATGACTACCAGTGAGTTTTCAAAGTTAGCATGTGTGGCATGCCAACCTCACTAATACAAACCATTCATATTGCAAATTGACCATTAGTTTAACTTTGATGGAACCAGTTAGAAAAGTATATAGCATGATCAATCCAAGGATAAGATGGAAAGAAACATGCCGGTAACTTTTATGATTTAAGATTATGTATGATCTATTCCTCAGGTGACTACAACAAGAAAAACAATACCAAAGGTGGCAATCATCCGTGCTTACTTGATTCCCCACGGTCTGACATGTCATCCCTAACAGCAGTTGATGATGAACCATATAAGCTTCTTCTCTCAGCTGCACGATCCCTATATGTTGTTGGAGTAGTTGATTGTGCTGGTGCCTCCAAAAACCTCCGCTTTCCGCTCGCAGAAACCGGAGGTACATAAGAACCTAATGCTGATGCATCAGTTTTGAATGGTGTTACAACAGAGGTTTCAACAGAGGACATCCCAGAAATACTTGTAATGGGAGTTGAAGCAGCAGTACTTCCAGCACTTGATAATCCGGGGAATGTTGTATCAGACTTTATAACCCCCTTACCTGAACCCCTAATCACACCCATTATTGTGCCACCGGCACTATTACTCACAGGCCTTGGTGTGATTGGAGAATCCGAATGCGCACCGACAGAATTTGAAGACATATTAGTGGAGCCACGGTTTACTGCTGAAGCTGAAAAGATGGAGCTATTCGCATTGTCTTTTGAAGAAAATGCGTCTGATTTCACCTTACTTTTTCCAATATTGAATGAACTGATCTGCTTATCTTCACTCAAACCAGAAGACTGATTATCATCAAGAACCACTCGTGCAGCCTGCCCCTCATGATTTCTTTGCTTCCACATGGCTAAGACATTATTCATTTTCTTTTTATTAGCTAAAAGACTGCTTTTTGATGCCAGTTTAATCTCTTTTAACTTCTCCTTCTCTTTCTTCTCTGCAGCTGCTGCTGCTGCTGCTGCTGCTTGAACAGCATCGGGCCTTCTCTTTCTTCTCTGCAGCTGCTGCTGCTGCTGCTGCTGCTTGAACAGCATCGGGTAAAGATGCCTTCTCATTTGATTTTGCCGTAGTAGTTGCCGGGGCAGAAATCACAACCTTCTTGCTACCAGCACCATCAGATGCTTTACTTTCATTAATTGATTCGGCAGTTTCCTTGTTATTGCTCTGATCAGCACAAGGTACATATTGCTGGTTCTGATGATCGTAGGTATACCATATTCCGTTGTTGCCATCATAGTAAAGACCTGCAATGCATGATTTGCATGTTCATATTTTGTCTACATGGAATATCTAGAAACTAATCATCTAAATATTCTTTTAAAAGTAATTACAACTCCACTAGTTTAAGTTCAGTAAAAGTATTACAGAATCAAAAAAGTTTCCTCAGAAATTCGCTAATCACAGGCTTCAAAACATCAACCATATTCAAGACTCAAGTTGAAATTGGAGCTAAAACTTCATTCTGAACCTCACCATAGCAAACCATATAAAAAACACAACACATATGGAGATGTAGATCTGTGTGGATGAGCATGCTTAATCACTAATACATACATGGATAGATATATTACAGTATATGGAATGAATATTAGGTTTATAAGTTTTAGTTTATCAAAGTTTGTCATTGACAAAGACGAATCAATACACAGATCATAATGAATGAAGACTACCCCAGTCATATCAGATCTGCAGTTACAAACTTGCATCCAGCATTTTGGTCTCTAAGTATTGACTATTAATCTATTTGGTTGACTTAAGCCAAAATCTCCATAGAATATGACAAGAACAAAGATCTAACCTGAGTTTCCATCATAGTAGAAGCCAGAGGCAGCATCATAATAATAACCAGATTTTTCATCCCATACAAATCCAGATTGCGGAGCTGAACAGCCTTTTTGTGCTTGCCCATTTCCATTTTGTTCGCTCCCAACTGCGGACACCTTTTCATCAGGGTTGTATTCCTTAGGGGCCCAACCAACAGCATCATACTAAAAGAGAGATGAAAAAGTAAGTCAAATAATGTAATTATCAAAAAAGTACAAATTATCTATTGAGCTTCAAAAGTTCAATACAAACCTTTGCTAGAATGAATACATAAAAATAGATCAATGAATTATTGTCATTGGCTCTCCTCTTACTTAATGATCACTGATTTTGGTGTTCCAGATTGGGAACACATCACGAAACTATGCTTTGTAATCAGACTAATTCCGGTCACTTGTTCTGGGGATTCATAAGGGATACCAGGACGGATATGATAGGGACCCCAAAATATAGTAATAAGGCTTAAAAAAAAGAAAAATAAGGCCAAAGCAAAAGCAGAACTACCTGTTGTGCAAATGTTGCTGCCTCAATTGCAGCTGCAGCAAGACTACTAGATTGAGGAGCACCAGCACCAGGACCATGAACACTTTTCGCAAATGCTACACGAACGATCTGACCATTCTTCTCGAGAGTTGTCCCATTTGTTGCATCCAACGCTTTTGTAGCATCCTCCACCTAAGTGAACCAATATAAGGTATATAATAACGTAGGTAAAGAAAGTGAGAATTTTGTTTGACAATGATTATTACCGAGTGAAAGTGCACGAATGCAAAACCCCTGGACACATGGGTGAATTTATCCCTGACAAGCCTAATATCCTGCAGACAGAATGTGTGATGTCAAAACAGATGTAAAAAATGCAAAATTCAGCAAGCTACATGCATGGCTCTTATTACCTTAATTGGAGCATGTTTGGCAAACTCATAGCGGAGCATTTCTTCATCAGCATTTTCATCCAATCCTCGAACAACCAAAACATGAGTCGGCCCTGAAAATGAAATTCTAGCAAATTAAACAGAAAAAAATAAATAAAAATAAGACCCATATCATATCAGAAAGCAGAGCATCAACCTACCAGCGTCTGATGCTCTTTTACCAACTGATGCTGGATTAGAGGTGGCCATATCAGCTGAAGGAGCATCATCAGATCGGCTCTCATTACACTGAACTTGCAAAAGAATATTATATTTGCTATATTAATTCCTGGGGTCTATGTAAGCATTGATGAACCATACATACAAAATCAACCAAATTACGACAAATGTCCTCCATATTGTTATAGTGCTTCAGTAGACTTGATCATCACTGTGAATTACAACATGCGTATAAAAACAGAAAAGTGCAAAAAATTATTACAAAATGATTGTTGCTTCTGTACTTGACAAGACTGTCTTACTACAAACAAGTGCCGCTTCTTTACTTGACAAGGCTGCCCAAAATATACATGCAAGCAAGTTAAGATATTTAGCATTTAAGCCTCATTACTCATTATATGGGGTTGATAAGTGTATCGACAACAGCTATAGCCACTTTCCAGTGAAGGATGCAAGCTCATTTCTCAAACTCAAAAAACTTTTTATAATAAGAAAATATTTTTTTATTGTAGAAATAGAAGGATCAAAAAAGATAATATGTTCTTTTCTACTGATGTAAGAAAAAGGATTCATGTAGGCTACTGTAACAACTTGGAATAAACATTTTGTTTATAGTTTATATCATTCTCTTGTGTACTCAATCTGTTTAATATTACTTTACATGAAGAAATTCAGCATGAGGTGTCATCAGAATATACATTAACTAATGCTCATCGGCACGAAGGGTCATAAAAATAAATTAAAAACTAGAGGAACCAGCATTTTGTAACTCCACCGTACATACTGGAGATGCAAAACTTCTTAGGTAACTGCCACAAAAATAAATAGAACCCAAGAATCACGTTGAAGACAAAAACATACCTGGAAACAGGATGTTCGACGTGCAAAATTTACACAACCACATATAGTACACATCCAGTCAGAGGGTGCAGCGGAGAATCTGTTGTGTCCATATCCCGTTCTAAAAGCGCTCTCCTGACCTAAAGGTGCACCCACTCCACCAGTAGGCTTACTACTGCAGCACAAGTCACACAGTTTGAAAGTTATCAGCAGTAAAATATTAACACTTTGAAGAAATAAAATATTGTGTGCAACAGGATTAAGACATTATTAGCAAGTGTATTTGTACCCTAAGGATGAAGAATAACATATACATCACACTTGAGATTTGCGATTTGCTACTCAAAATTAACACCAAGAAAAGTAATTCTGGTTCGACGAAGCAAAAAGAAGGGTATCAGTGCATGAACCACACACCAGGGATTTCAACACAGCTGGGTCAAGAAACATCAATTTGTAAAACATATAAAGAAAGCTGTCATGTGTGTTCATTAAGTATTGACGTTGAAGAGTATCATCCTAATGTAATGAGTTGTTATCGTATTGGAGTGACCTCAAAAGTGTCCAAGTGCCTGAGACACCAAAAAACTAACGCAAGAAATATTAGGATGAATAACACTGATGGCAATATCGTTCAGAGAATGGCATCTGCCATGGATGTGCAGTATCACCGTAGCCATAGAGAAAGAAAGTATACATAGCCACAACTATATGAAATATGTTAAAATGTCAAAATAAGAATTCATTATCCAATCTAAAGCTGATACCTGTACTCAAAAAGCAGCTTTCTTCCATCAATACTAAGGCCACTCTCTCCTATACCATCCATCATGTTGCGGGCAGCTTCCTGAAATGAATATGAGTTAAGCAGCGTGCAATTAAATAAGGAAGCAAGCAAGAACCAGAAGAAGCATATCAGTTTGATACCACAGTGGGGAAGTCAATAAAAGCAAATCCTCGAGAAATGCCGGAATTCCGTTCTTTAATAACACGGATATGTCGAAGGGGTCCCCATTCAGACTGGAAAAGTTTTCAGCCATATCAATATCACTGAAAAAGAACTTATGACGATAACTGCATGTAGTAAATAACTTATAAGTAAGGATTTATACGAGAATTTGATAAAGATCTTCCTCATTTGTCTTCTGCGATAGACCCTTCACAACAATTGTAGCAGATGGAGCCTGTAGGCACATATAATTTCTCAGAATGATTACTCCAAGAGCAAGGAAAAATACATGATTATTTTGAAGGTTCAAAATAAACATACCACCGAAGATTCAGGATATCTCCTCTCATCACGTTCACGATCCCAATCCCTATGTTTATCGCTCTTTTCATACCGGTCATCATCATTGCTGTCTTCTCTGTGACTCCGCCCACGGCTTCGACCACGAGGAGATCTGGATCTCGAACGTTCATCCCTTCCACGAGAGTGAGAGCGGTCATGCCGCCTATATGGACTCGGATCTCTTTCCCGACTCACACCTCGTCTGTCCCTCTCACGATCACGGGATTCACGTCGTCGCCAACTACCATCCCTTCTGACTCTCTCATGATCAGAATCACAACTATACCGACCAAAATCATGGTCTCTCTCACGGCTCGTCTCTCGGCTACGGTGGGAAATACGATTCCGGTAGTCATAAGTGTCGCCTAAATCATTATCATCTCGGCCTCCAAACCTTGAATGTCTTTCAAGCCCATAGTCACGGTAACGATTTGTATCATGATAGTTATAGCTCTCATTAAATCTATCAACTTCATGAAAGGAATCAATTTCTTGATACTTATCCGCTTCATGAAAATTATCCATTTCATGATACTGATCATGGTATGACTTGTCATGTCTTCTAGGTTCCCGAATAGATGCATATTCTTCGCTGGGACCTCTTCTCCTAGGCTGGGACCAAATGCCAGGAACAGGTGGTGGTGGCGGATATACATCCCTCTCATGCATGTCACGATGGAACACATTCCTTGCATATACATCCCTTTCATCCAGATACCTCCTACCACCATATGAACCAGCAGCCCTGCCACAACAAGATTAGTACTAAAGGGAGCATTCTTTGATTTTACGGTTAATCTAAAAAAATGACATATTATTTGACAACGATGTTGGCAAATACAAAATGCAGTCATAGTCAACACGTGCAGAACCAATAGTCACCTGAAATCTGGCTCATGGACAGCACCATACCCCTCCAAGGCCTGTAGATTCAACAGAATAACAAGTCAGCAACTAATATTAATGGAAGGAAAACCATTCCATATCAACAGTGGCCCAGGGGTTTCTGATTGTTCATGATGAGAATCCATTAAACATGGAGGGTCAATCACATGAGCCATAAAATCTGGTATCATCCTGATAGGTAATTAAAGAAGAAAACTGCAATTACGCTGTTTGCATCCCATCCTTGTTGCACATAACGTCCAGGATCCATTTCTTCCAACAAGAATTACCCTGAAAGGTGCTTGATAGGCCTTTCACAGAGATTGGGTGCAAGAAGATTGGAAGTCTATCCTGTAATAGATGCACAAACAAACCATTAAGCCAAAATCTACAGAGATTTAATGCTCATAACTTGGCCAGCCTTTCAGCGGAATCTTCAAACCGAAGTGCCCAATAAAACCCCATCATCAATCTCTTGCATCACAAGAATACAAGCCCTTAAAAGTGTGAAATCTGAACTCTATTAAAATAGTGCCACAGATTGAAAAAGTTGAAGCTTCTTAGATTTGTCTCATGAAGCTGTGCAATACAGGAACTAACTGGATTATAGTCATTAATTTTGTATGTTATACTAAATCCAGATGAAGTTTGAGAAAAGTGATATTTACATAATGAAAGTAGCATATAGTTGATTGCTATAAATATTATTATTTATGAGGCAACAATGCGTTTTTTTACTGGAATCTGAAGGCACGTTAAATTTGCGTACCACAGGGGTAACATGCAAGATAAGTATCACCAAAGTAAAAACATGTTCGAAGAGGAACATGGTCTTAGGCAGGAAAAATATTGACTCACATTCCTGAGACACTTAGTGTGACTTAAATAAAATTGGTCTGATAGTACCATCAGTAATAATCCATGATTTTCCAATATCTCTACATCACTTTTTTCCTCCTAAGAATGCATCAGCAATAGACCTATTACACATAATATATTGGACTAAGGACACTATTGAATAACAACTTTGCAAGAAATTTTAAAATAAATATTAATAGGCACATGCATGAAAGATATATTTCATGCAAAAAAAACTCAAAAAAATAAACTCGTGATTCATGGGCTTGTGGATAATTCAGATAGTCGGAGGGTTCAGCCGATAGCTGGCCAGACAACTACTGGTTTAGCACATGCCCATGTCTTATAACAAAAGACATCGAGACTGCAGATGCTCTGCATTCTAGCAGAATGCAACATAACAGATCGAGGGGATACACAGCATCCTACCCAAACAGACTATTTCCTAATAACCTGAAAACTGTGCACTAAAACTGTGAGCCATGAAAGGGGATTTCTTAAAGTGCAAATGTTTTTCATATCCTCAACATTTTCAAAATATACAAATTGAATGACAAGATACTGAGACTTGCCAAGGTGTGACTGAATACTGACTTTAAGTTATAAATTTGATGTGGGAAGAGAATATAACAACTTATAGCTCCTGGTCTTGCAGCTTTAGGGTGTGACCATAAGGGTAATTAACGCTACGAATACAAAGTTCGCAGAGGAGAAGGATCCAAATCCTTGAATAGCATAGCTGATAGAACACCATATAGGAATTTTGACGGCCTTTCAATTCACAGGCAAGCTACTCTGATTCTAAAAATATGTATGAACTCAATTAACAAAAACTCAATTCCACCATGGAGATTCTCACATGTTTACGACTTTGATCTTGATTAAAGCTACTCAAAGAATTCAAACTCAACACTTTCAGTTAACATATGCTTCCGGTGATTTGGCTGTCAAATTTCTCACACTTACACTTTCTCATGTCATTATCGAGAATTTTCCAATACCAGATATGTTACAGGACAAATTCAACAAATTGACATACTCTGAATCATTGTAAAGGGCAAAAGGAAAACCTTGACCAAAATCAGAAATCGTGAAAATGGGCTCTGATTGATTTAACAAATAATTCTTTTCAGTTTTCCCAACTTCACATGGCCACAACTATCAGCATGAGCAGCATAATAGTTTGTATTACAAGGACAGTTACATCATCAAGTGAACCCAAGATGAACAACACAAGTGCTTCGTTCATTTCCGGATATTGAAGACACTTGCACCTCATTTTGTACACGGGACTCGTGTTTGGATTTGACTAGAGAATGAAGTGGGAATTACAATTGTTTTATTGTTGGCAATAGATAATTAATAAGCAATCATGTATATTTGGAAATTATTTTAATTTTTTGATTGCCAGTTATGTTGGAATGCCATTCCCTACTATCTCATTGGAAATGCCCATTCCCATAAAATGTGGGAATGAATGAGAAGTGTGAACTAGCATTCTAGCTTCCAAAAAGACCTCGTGTTTCGTAAGAATGAATAAGAAGTGGGAATGGGCATTCTAGCTTCCAAAGCTATGTTCATGAATGAGAAGTGGGAATGGGCATTCAATTCCCACCCATTCCAGTGTACCAAACCAGGGATTAAGCCTTTTCTTTTCTTTTTCTTTCGACAGCTTTGTATGAACAGTAACTCTAGGATCCTGCTAGTTGCCGCTGACGCCAATGATACATCAGTTACAGACACCACTTCCATCTCATGAGTAATTCCTTGACATTAAGTGATTACTCCTCTCACATGAGTTCTAGAACATGAACTATCTAACAAAAGTATTGCCAACCCAAAATTTTCAGCTTGCCTTTTACTGACTCTTACACATATTTCATCTGACAATAAAAATAAACCCTGCAAAAAAACGAGCCTTTTGCAGATAAGATTGCAACCTATAAAAAAATTGTGATTCCATCTCAAATAAACTATCAATTACACCATAATTTCATAAAACAGCACAAACCCTAATTTCCCAATTCATCCCGAACCCTAATCAACCAAAGCTAACCCTAAACTTAACAATCGCTCAATCAACCACCGGGATCGTTCCTTATAAAACACTAAACCGCGTTCAGAAACAATTAGATCAAAAAGCAGAATCAAAACTGACCTACTTCGCCTCTTGATTGGCTCCGAATTCGTTTCCCAGAGCTTCCGATTGTCTTCGTCGTCGGCTTAGTCAAAGGCTTCGTCGTCTTCGTCGCCGATCGCCGCCGTCGAAAAGTTCGTGAAAGGGATCGGGATCGAGGGTTTGAAGAGGGAGAGGGCGGCGGATGAGAAAAGCGCCGATTTGGATCGAGAAGAGAACTCAGATCCGAAACTTATTTGTCATCTTACCGGGTCACGGGTTTAAAAAACCGAACAGAATAAGTTGAGAGTCGAATTTGGGTCGGGTGTGAATAAACCAGACCCGTGTAGGTGACTTTCTTTCTCGGGTAAACTAGTTTTTTCAGCGGTCTTGTTTATGAGGTCCGAATTTATTTTGAATGTAACAAAATAGGAAAAAGAAAGAATGCATATTTCAAGAAATCCCAAAGCCTCAAAATTTATGGTTCAAGTCATTTTTTTTTTCAAAAATAACCCAGTATTATTTTAACTTAGTGATAATAGTAAATTGAACATAAGATTACTAGCATTGCATTGAACATAAGAATCTACTCCTCTGTACAAATGGGAGAACCCAAAATTCACTATTCATGCTACAGTAAATACTACTGCGGTCTTTACTATAGCATTATTGTCGTATCAAACAGGAAATGTTACTGTAGCATTTTTTAAAAACTGTAGCAGATGCAGGAGCTGTGGCAATTCAAAAAATTTTAAAACTTTTACTGTACGGTGTTCACGACTAATATTAGCAATGCAAGAAGACTTTCCTCTATAACAATTCTTTTACAGAACAATATCTCATTATTCCTCGAGCAAATATCAAATCATAAGAATGCTCAACTTTGATCAAGGGAATTTTCAAATAGGTTAAGAATAAACCCTAGAAATTAGGGAGCAAGAACGTATCCTTCACCAAAGATGAAACCGTAAAAAACGAAAATCGACCGGAAAATTATATTATGGATAGGATTAGCGAGAAGAAGAAGGAAACATGCTCAACTTTTGAGCATTTCTGCAGAAAAACAAAATTTAATAGATAGTGACTGATATGTTTGAAAAGAGAAATATTTGGAAAGAGAGTAGTGTATTATTTATGGGAAATATGAGGTACTAAACACGATAAATGCTGGCGAGGAATTTGAGAAAGGAGTTGAAAGATTGAACAAATTTTTACTGTAGACCTAAACGGAATTTTAATTATCAAAATCGACCGATTTTTTTTAATTACCAAAATCGACCCGTTTTATGTCACGTAGGCTTAATCCAGTTTCCTAATTAGTCGGGGTTGCCAACCCCGACTGTTTAGGAGTTGTTAAACCCCGATTAGAAGCCTTAAAACCCGGTTTAACAACTCCTAAACAGTCGGGGTTGGTAACCCCGACTAATTAGGAAACTGGATTACGCCTACGTGGCATAAAACGGATTGATTTTGGTAATTAAAAAAAAATCGGTCGATTTTGATAATAAAAAATTAGTTTGGATCTATAGTGAAAATTTGTTCTTGAAAGATTTCTTGGTGAAGGGATTAGTAAAAGATTCTCTAGCACGAGAGTTGGAAAAAAGTAATAATTAGTATTTAAGAGAAGCTAAAAAGTCAAGAAGTTTTTAAGTAGAGAAATTAAAGAAAGCTTCATATTTTAGGATTTGACCTGTGACAAAAAAAATGCAACATATTTCTTTTTATTGGTATAGTATTGATTGCAGATAAACCCTCGTCTTTATGTTCAATACCATTTATCACCTCAACCATTTTAGTAGCATCTACCATTTCCAAAATTAAATATCGATAACGTACTACAAAACTTATACTAATTTTGTACTCCCACAAAAAAATAAAGTAACATCCGTGATGACTCACAATTTATCTTGACAAATTTCAAGAATAGACCCCATACATTTTTTAGCGGTAGTACAAAAATAGCCTGTACCTTGTATTACAATTTTCATTTTTCCAACTACAAAAATAACCTAGAAAGAATGTAAATTCATCTCGAAAATTACATGGTGTTTTCAATTTTAAACCAACAAACATCAAAACTTTACTAGGACGATCGCCGGACTTAAGACCTCGCTACTCCAGAAACACCACGACAACAGGAAAAATAAACAAAATCACAAGAAACAAAAAAAAAATTTGAAATCGGCTATAAAATTATTTTCCGTTAAATCTCATAATCAGAAGAGAGACGAATAGGGGAAAGTTCGACAGTTAGATCTCTCTTATTGGCTTGCTCAAATAAATTTTACATAGTAGATTAAACTATTTTACATTCAGATAGCACAGACTGACGAAATAACTATTTTATTGCACAAATCTAAGCAACAAACCGGGTGAACGTTTGCACTTGTAAGCATAAAAATCTCTTGTGCATATCTACTTGTATTGGGAACAAACAAAAATTAGTACAAGAATATCCAACTACTACTTGCTTTCATTTACAATAAAATTTGCTTCAACAAGCAAAATCTATTATCTGGTACAAAGCTGCATTAGCAAATGATTGCCTTACTTCTCCTCGACTTTCGATATCGATGATGTCAGGATGCGGAAGATTTCGAGGAAGAACGACGGCTTTCGCCTTTCGGAGAAGTCATCCCCGATGGCATGGCCATACAATGTTTCTGCAGCCGGAGCAGCGGATGATCTGATTTTTGTAGCCAACAAATTGCCTCCTGCAGGCTGGGCAGGACCCCTGTTCATGAAGTGGAAAGTAAAATGCTAAGAACAGAGAAGAGACATCTAAAAGAAAGTCAAAAATAGGTTTAATCGGGTCATTGGTCACTGTATTTATCACTTAATTGGACATTCATACCTCTGTTTCAATTGGTTGGATGGATAGTCATATAAGTGAATATTAATTGTCTAATGCTTTTCATCAATTATTATAATGGATCTCTTTCTAGCAGTTGAAGAATTCTTTCAATCAGGTAAACTCTTGAGTTCCCTTAATACTACTTCTATTATTCTTGTGCCCAAAGTCCTTAATCCCACATCAGCTGCTGACTATCGGCCGATTTCCTGCTGCAATGTCATCTACAAAACTATCTCTAAAGTTATTGCTAGTAGGGTGCAAAAGATTATAGGCTATTTAGTTAATGATGCTCAATGTGCATTTGTGAAAGGGAGACTCATATCCAGTAACTTCTTACTTGCTCATGAAATTATCAAACACTATGGAAGGAAAAATAACTCCCCAAGAACTATTCTGAATGTTGATCTGAGGAAGGCCTTTGACACTATTAATTGGGAGTTTATAAGAAGTATGTTGGTTGGTCTGGGGTTTCCTATGATCATGGTTCACTGGATCATGGAGTGTATTTCCTCTCCAAAATTTTCTTTAGCATTGAATGGGGGGCTGCATGGATACTTCCATGGTGCAAGAGGATTAAGACAAGGGGATCCTCTTTCCCCTTATCTCTTTGTCATTGGTATGGAGTTTCTATCTAGAAAACTTAGTGCTCTAAAGGATGACTCCTCTTTCAAATTTCACCCGAAGTGTTCTAAACTGAAGATCAATCATTTGATATTTGCCGATGACTTGCTCTTGTTCTGTAAAGCTGACATGAGCTCTATTGCAAAAATTTATGAATGCCTACAAGAGTTTGGACAAGCTTCAGGCTTGGAAGCTAATGCAAGTAAGTGCTCTGTTTTCCTTAGTGGAGTTAGTGATAGTCTCAAAATTCAGATATGCAATTATCTTAAATTCCCTGAGGGTATACTGCCTATGAAGTATCTGGGGCTGCCACTGAATGCTAAAAGGCTCTCGTATTCTGATTGCTCCTGCCTTATTGAAAGAATAAACAAGCAATTCCAAACCTGGCAACAGAAAAAATATCTGTCTTATGCAGGCAGGCTTGAGTTGATAAAATCTGTGATATTAGGCATTCAAACATATTGGATCAGCAATTACATTCTGCCAGTTAAAGTATTGGAAAGAATTAACAGAATGAGTTCTGAATTTCTGTGGGGACATAAACTTCATCTTGTGAATTGGAAATCTATGTGTCAAGGGAAGGAGCAAGGGGGGCTGGGGATTTTTTCAGCTAAGCTCTGGAATTATGCTGCTGCTTCTAAGCTCCTTTGGATGATTCATCTTAAAAAGGATCTACTATGGATAAAATGGATTCATGGAAACTATCTACAGAGGTTCAATATCTGGTATGTTCCATCCAAGACAAATGATTCATGGACATGGAGGCAACTCCTTAAAGTGAGAGATATGTTGTTGCACAAGTTTGGTAGTGTTGACAATATTGAGGCTGCTATAACTGAATGTTATGCTGATGACAAACTCCAATTATCTGCAGTTTACAAGTTTCTTATCCAGCCTACGATTACAGTGCCCTGGGCTAAAACTGTATGGGATAGTTTTTTATATCCTAAACATTCTTTCATATTGTGGCTAGTTTGTCATTCAAGACTTCTCACCAAGGATAGATTGTGCCGAATGGGTATCCTGAGCACCAATCAGACTCACTGTGTCCTGTGTAATAGACAGGAACTGGAGACAAGTAGCCACGTTTTCTTTGAATGTCAATTTTCAGCTGAAGTCTGGAATTTAGTGATGGAATGGCTGAGATATAGATGGAGGTCATGTGTATGGAGTTTGGTTTTGAACTGGTATTCATATAATTTGAAAGGAAAAGGCCCTATGAAGAAATTGAAGAGGATGTGTTTATCCACTGCAGTTTATATGATCTGGAAGGAGAGAAATCGGAGAATCTTTCAAGGCAAAATGAGGCTCCCTGCTCAGATTCTTAGTGATATCAAGTTTTCAGTTTTTGCAAAAGTTCATAATGATACTTCTAATGTACATATGAAAAATATTCTTGAGAACCTGTAATTTTTTGGTTTCCAGATTTTCTGGCACTTAGTTGTACTTCTCATTCTCAATTTGGAAAATGAATAAAATTTAAGTTCATTGACCAAAAAAAAAAAATTATTATAATGGATTACAGTGATGTGGCATAAAAAAAATCCTCGATCATTTGACGTGATAGATTTATTGCTATGTATAACATCTTAATCACTTATGAAAATGAAAATCTAGGACTTATTGAACCACTTGTGCTGAGTAATTATATGGCATTTGACATTCTGTTCCAGAAAATATTGACTAAGATATATTAAGTCGTATTGCTTAAAAGTGAATGAAAATAGACAATTCAAATTGACAAAAAGTGTTAGAAGTGACTAGCAATCTAATTAGTATTTAATTACATGACAGGCCATCCAAGAATTTAAAACATAGATATGAACGTCTAATCACAAGATAAATATAGTATCCAATGCTCCAATTAACCCGTCAAAAATACGAAATTGAGCTCTTACTGAGTATAGGAATTTGATAATAATAATAATAATTGATAGTTTGTTAAAGGTTCATTTCTTTTCTTTTTTTAACATGTTTAAGATCTTCAGGTATTAATGTATTTCCAAACATAGAAATAATGTTATGGACTCAGATTCTCCCCTTGAACTCTACAGTCTGTTTGGGAGCTCACTGAGGAAAGGGAAAGAACGGTAGGGAAGGGAAGGAAATTGTCAATTCCCAAACAAGGTTAAACTCAAATTTTTCTTCCCCTTCCTTCTCTGTCCTCCATCCAAACACATCAATAAGGAAGTCATCAATCATCATGCATCCCTCCGAAACTATTTTATTAGCACTTATACTTCCTGCTACAAGCTACATTATCTCCAAAGTTAGGATGGAATGTCAACATAGGAATCATGTGACAAAAAATTACCTTTTAAACTCTAATCTGCCACCTAAAGTTGAGGGCAGGGGAAAAAATATTGTAGCCTGAGGTGCAAGAACTAATAAGAAATTTTAGGCGGATATATGTGACTATAACGACATAATGCATGGAGTGTATCTGCAATTAACCCTCATCAATTCAGTTTGTGAGATACTAATAATTTGTTAATCTGTGTTTATGGATGTGGATCAATGAACACCGATTGCTAAGCATTTCCCCTCAATATAGACCAGCTTTCTGACACGTGGGATGACACATGCGACCAAATAGACAGCATAGCGCATGAAACTGAAAGATAAACAGGTCGACAGCATTACGTATATGCAACAAACTGAATGACACATTTCATTGGGATGCATGTGTGCATCAGAGTGGATGCATTACATATATGATAATGAATGATAACTTTCCATGTGTATGATTCTTCACATTTAAAAAAAAAAAACATATTTACAGTAGATGCAAAAGAACAGATTTCTATGCAAGAAAATATTACAGTAGTTATATGCTGCATGCCTGCATCTGGATTAGTGTAGATTCAAGTTTACAGAGAGCAGTTAAGGAAGAAAATAAATTTCCCACTTCGGTGCACAATGCCACAAACTATTTTGAACTCTTTGCAGTGGTTTTGCAATTTTGATCATTTTCAAAATTTGTTAAACATAGTTATTTGAAGTTTGGACGACAATGAACCTGTATCTTTTCAGCTAATAAACATATCTAAAACCATCCATCTCCCCTCCTGTTTCTTACAATCTATAGCCTGATCTCTTAATTGCCAGCGGCTCCTTCTCACTCAACAAAATTTCTTCTATTAACTTCCTAATAGAAATCCTTCCAAATATGAATAACTCCTTACTTTCAGTCCCTTTCTACCTGGTAAAAATTAGGTAGAAATTTCCAAATTTCAAGAAAATGCAGCACAATCAGTTAGATAACGACTAATTGTGGGATGAAGAAACAATACTGTTAAGGAAAAGAGTCTGAAGCACCATTATTCCACCTTCAGACACAGTAGAGGAAAAAAGAACAAATATGGAAAGATAAAGATGACTCCAAGGCCCTAGGTCTATTTCTGATCATTATATATCCTTGTGCGTCTCAGGCCTATCTATTCAAAGTGAAAAGTATTACAAGAGCTGATCATTCTGATGAGGTACTTTTCTCTTTCATTTTTTTCGCAGTTCACTGATACAATGTAGGAAAAAGAGAGAAAACAAAAAGGCATGGGAGAAGATAATATCAGAGAAATAAGTAGGTACCTCAATAGCAAAATTATTCGCAAATGTCCCAATAAGAAGAGGAGCAGCAAATGGCAGTACCCAAGTAGCAAAAATGAAGAACCTGAACAACCAACCGGATAGCGCAAACCAAAGGAAGAATATTGTCTGCAAAAAAGATAACAGAAATTAGTATGTAAAGTATGAAAGACGTATGAAAATCTTCTTTATGAAGCCAAAAAGAATCTAACAGATATTTTTGTTCAGAGCAACAAGCTGAAACAATACAAAGTGGAATTTGAGCAAATCATGATTGCTTTGATGAAGAACCTTAACTATAAAAACAATTTATTAGATTCAATTTGATGAGCTATATCCAATGAAGTCTTGAAATATGTGTGATGCAAATCATCTTCTACCTATAATATACTTTAGAAGTTTCCCAAGATACAAGGACAAGAAAATCATAACTATCTATAATGCTAGGTGGTTAAGGTACACAATCTTCGAGGAATGCATCCTTTGGCAGCTATTATGCCTTTTCAATTACTTGGCTGGAAGGTGGAATATACTCTGCTGACAAACTAAGCAACAGCCATGAATTCCAGACTGCATAAATCTTATTCAGGGATTGATGTCAACATAGCCATTCTTAATAACAAGTATGCCAAACTTTTATTAGACTTGGTCGTCAACTATTTGATTGCATACAAGATTTCACTAACAAATGTAGAACAACTTAGTAGATCAAGAGAACTTGAAGATTCTGAACTACTACAGGTCTTCTATCTCAGTAAGGAGTAGAAGTACTTTTCACTAGAGAACTGACTTTTACTAGAAACAAGTCTAATGTTTGCTAGGAAGATAATAGCATTCAGCATTGATTTTTCACACAATGGCAGACGCTATTGTTGTATGGATTCCTGGAAAGCTGGAAGCAGACCAATTGACAGAAGAACCAGTGTCCAATTGAGTAAGACATGAAATGAATTAAAGACAACACTCACTTATGACTGACTGTTCCATAGTTTGAACAGCAAGGATGACGTTAATTCACTAGTTGTAGCATGTTGATATTGAATTTAATATTAGCAAGGTCCCTTAGACGTTCTAATGTTCTATTAACATATTTTCTTTCCCAATTGTCAATATATGGTGTAAGTTTCTTCTGCAAACTCTAGTCAATTGCCTTGCAAGACTTTGTAATGGGTTGTTGTCCATAGCTCTGGAATTTGGCTACCAAAAAGTAAGGCTATCACAATTACAAATTTACAATTAACAATCCACATTACCATATCACATATTTCAATATTCCATGACAATCTATCATCAATTAACAAACTAAATCATGGTTGTTAAAGAAGAATAAACCTTTGATATTTTGACTATTCTGTAGCAAACACTGTCATATGGTCCTTAGCTACTGGGCATATTGTGGTCTAATTGAAAATTATATATCCTGCATAGTGTGAGGAAAAGATTAAACATAACCATCGAATGCTTTTTTCCCATATTAAATTGTTTTTTTTTCTATTAGTTTTTATTTAGTGCCAGATTGTCCAGGTCGACAGCACAACTAATAACTCTTACAATGGTACCACTGATCCCTACCACTACGGCCAGATAAACCCATCACCTCTCTAGATGCTGTCCGTATGAAGCCACTTGATTCTCCTTGAATTTTATTCACAATCAAGTGTATGTCTAACCATACTATCTACTGCTACACTGCCACTCCTCACGTCAACAACCTCATTGAACATACGACCATGCTTCTTCATTTAATGCAATTCCAACACATTACAATCGACGTCCACGGCCTGCCAACATCTAACAGAATTATTCCTCCAATTTGTGGTTGTCTCCTCAACATTTAAGTATTTAACATTATATGGTCAACATTAGTGATGTAGTAATTTATCAATACTTCTATATTTCAGCCGCCTTGAATTAACTCCTTGCCCATCCTCAATCCCACAAACATCAACAACCAATGCTTAAAGCAAGGAACTACCTCACTCACTTTTTGCAGTTTTGTTGAAGTTACAATTTTACATCCTTGTCATACAAATTCAATATCCTTCAACTTGAAACATAGCCCACAGTTTCCCCCCATTTAAAACACCATCCCCTCTCTAGCCTTATCAACTAAGACATAAAAACACCACCAAAAGACAACAACGCACAACGGAAACTCATATGAAGTAGGAAAATTACAAGTCTACATGAGTCTTTGCTTCACGTCAATAATTGCTCCCTTGCCGGCCGATTCAACAAAATTTTATTTTTCACATTAAAAAACAATCAATCAAGTACTAAAATGATGCATAGGATAAGCACTCACAGCAAATCCCCTGCCAATAGGCGTCTCAAGAAAACCACTCAGCTCCTTCCTATACTGCAAAACACCAATAAATAGAAGAGATAAGCCAAAAAAAAAGAATAAAAAAGGAAAAAATAGTACACAAAACCCTAACCCTAGGCCAATTTCTCGAGAAATCAAGCGAGAAGGTCCTCCACCGCCTCCCAATCCCCAGCTCCTGATCCATCTCCCTCGCCCTCACCGACGCCGCGCGAGCGAACGAATCAAATCGGCGGGAAACCGAAAACCTCCGGTCGATCCTCTCGGCGGCCTTCTTCGCTTCGAAGGAGAGGATCTCGAAGCCGTCGTTGGCGCTCCGCCTGATGAGGAGAAACCTAGAAGTGATCGGACCATTCTCGACGCTGGTTGTTTCCGGTGGCTAGTGAACATCTGCGTTGGGTATCTTGTCCTCCGGGTGAAGAACCAATGCCACATAGAGCCTTATCTTCCTTACCGCTTTGCTCGCCAGTTCGGCTATGACCAACTGTATGTCGGGAATCCGAGCCATAGCCTGCAGGTAGAGGGAGGATTGATTGATGGCGTACGAGCGTGGCTATGGACGATGGTGGGTTGCACTGGAGCCCATTTTGCTCTTCCTTCGTATAGGCGTAAGCCGCTGACCACTTTCCTCAGCTGCAAGTCCTTCGTATAGGCGTAAGCCGCTGACCACTTTCCTCAGCTGCAAGTGGTTTCTTTCTGCCTATGAATCTATTAGTGTGAGGAGCCTCTCAGAGTTACAGTCCGAGTACGCGGTCCGGGCTGCCATGATGGCTGGTCGCAGGGCTGAGCTTGCTCAGAAGCGGAGAAAACTGCGGCCGAAGGCTCTGATCGGTTGGACGAGAATCCGTCGTCGATGGTGGGGACGGGGGTAGGGTTTGGGGGAGGTGAGGAGAGACCATTGCGAGCTGAGGGTCGCCATGGCGAATTTTGGGGGGGCTGCTATTTTTACGAGAAGCTCCGATGTTAGAAGATACGCGTGCCCGCGTGAGTTGCGCGTGCGGTGCTGAGAAGAGGGCCTGGCTTTCGCCTTTGGGCTTTTATTACGCCACGGAGGCCCATCTTTATACCGTCTGCTTCAGCTTATCTTTTTATGACAAAATTTTCAAAACCAACTCATTTGATAAACTATTCCCAAAAAAAGACCCATTTCAGTTTTATTTGCAAAAACCGACCTGGTTTCAGCTACTGGTTTGTCCTGCCTCTTTGATTTTCCTTTTTCATTAATGACAGCTCTTGTTCATTGAATGAAATGGATATTGTCACTTTAGGTAGGACGATCGATGATCATGAGCCACCAGCTCCTATACACGTTGAAACGTGTGATAGGCCTGCGCATGCTCGACCAGTTGGTCCTCGGAGGGTTGGTGCCCCGAAAAAAAGACCCATTTCAGTTTTATTTGCAAAAACCGACCTGGTTTCAGCCTCAGCGCTGAAACCAGGTCGGATTTTGAAAAAAAAAATTCCGAAACTTCACGGGAGTTCAACTCCCGTGAAGTTTTGTTATGAGAAAAAACTTCACGATAGGCCTGCGCATGCTCGACCAGTTGGTCCTCGGAGGGTTGGTGCCCCGAAGAGGAAGAAGACCGCCCACAAACCCCACGACGGTCAGCGTCCCTATGGAGTGGACTTAGGAAGCACTGCCGATGGAGTGGAAGGTAACATTTAATTGCTCTTGCTTCCAGGTTGTTTACCTTTTGGGGTTTGTAACCATGTTTTGTGCTCCAGGTTTCTTTGAAGAGGGTGAACTCCCACCGAGTCCGGCATCTCCTGGTGTTGATAACATGGATTGCTTTATGCAACAGATGTGCGACAGTTTTTTAGAAAAACCGACCTGGTTTCAGCGACAGTGCTGAAACCAGGTCGGTTTCTCTAAATAAATCTAAAATGGGTCGTTTTTTGCAATTAGTTTATCAAATGGGTTGGTTTTGAAAATTTGTCCTATCTTTTTATGATCAATAGTGGCGTTTTATATAGCTTGGGCTTATTTGCACATATACCCCTTATCTCATGGGTATTTACAATAATATCCTAAAACCTCGGTGTTCGCAAAACTAACCCTCATATCATCAACTTTGTGAAAAATAACCTTAAAATTAACAAATCATTAACTTGGTGCTAAAAATTTGACTGCTTTGTTGGTAATTCTTGTGTTGCTATTACAAATTAGCTTATCAAAGTTGATGATTAATTGCTATTAGATAATTTGTTTCCAAAATTGATGATTTGAGGCATAGTTTTGCAAATAGTAAACTTTTAGGATATTTTTGGAAATACTCATGATTTAAGGGTTATATGTGCAAATAACCCTTAAAGTTTTTACAACATATATTTTTTGGCATTATTATCTTGCCCGTCCTAAAATTATTATTTTTCTAAATTTGATAGGTAAAGTTATTTTTATTTACTTTGTCATTTTCATGTGAGTCTTTAATTTAAATTAATGGTCGCGGAATGCTTGTTCTTTTTTTTTTACGAGAGAGCTAGATAAGTAGAGGATTCGGATCCTCTCCACTATCTAAAACGTAGTGGGGTGACCACTACATAATCACAACCATTGATTATCTAGTTAATGGTTGTGATTTTTTTTAGTATAGGAATGAGTGCAATACACGGGGGTATGGTAAGTGTTAGATTTAGATTGTATTATAACCTCGTACTAAGTAATCAACGATTGAGATTAAAAGGAGTGGTCTTTCCACTAAATGTATGATAAATTAAAGAAAACGCGGTAGAGGATGATATATATATTTCAGAGTTTGAAATGTAAAGAAAAATAAAAATATCACTACATTTGACGAGATATATTCAGGCCTCCTCTATTGCGGAAAAAGCAAATTTAGATGTTACTATTATCATCAATATATTAACAATGTTAAGACCATACATTACTTTACTAGCATGATGCTTCAATGAGAGTTTCATTCATAAACAACAGTAAGCCTATATTCAATCTCCAATCATACATTAATACAATACAATGCAATAATAAGTAAGAACAACAATTCAACAAACATACTAGTAAGTAATACAAATGTCTGTAAGTAGTCAATACTTTATTTTTATTTTTAATTTTTTTAAAAAAAATTCACGCCCAGTTATCCATCATTAATTCACTTGTACTCCAGAGTCATAAACATCTCCAGATTTCCAATTTTGCGGTATATTATTAGCAGCCACGACCCAGCTCTCATCTCCGTCATCTCCTCCGCTCAACAGCATCCTTATAGAGAGATCTCCGCTCGGAGGAGAAACTACAGTCCACACTGCTCCATGGCTTCTGCTCAACAGCTTGCACGTCAAATTCACGGTCTGCACGCGGCGAACATCACGGCAGTTAGTTATGCAGTAAAATTGAATATGAAGGTGAAAACTCTGGAGTTATCGGTTGTATGTATGTAGTACGTACCTCGCACAATTGGACTGCGGTTATATCTTTGTTTCCTTGTTGGTACCATATTTCAAAGGCGATATAGTTCGGGGGGTTGCTGGCCTCGTCGATCTTGAAGGTGATGTTCTTGTTTGGGTAGTTGCAAGAAACCCTGCCGAGAGTAGGAAAATGGTTTACGTGATTGATCGATGGAACTGAAGCGGATAATATTTTGCATATGTACACTGTATGATATCTAAGGAGAATTTGTAAGAAAGGAAACTATTATATATCTAGTTTGAATAGATCGAGGCCTTGGCTAGCAGGTGTTAAAAGTTGACAAAATTTTCGAATAAGTTGTTTCAATCAATTACTATAGGTTTGGTATAATCATCTAAATACTATCAGACAATTATGATCGAGAATACATGCCTCCTGTACTCGATACCAACAAATCCGAGAGCCAAAAGAGAAGCCCCTGCATCTGTTGTCTGACCCATCTGAGCGAATGCACGCTGGCTAAGTATAAAATCAGTACTACCACTTGCACCTGAATCTGTGATCACAATGGTCACGCCGTTGTCTGAGCAGTAGTTCGCATTGGTGCATTTAACCTGCACATCGAAAATTTTATTTACAGTTCATTACGTTCACAAGAATAAATGAATTTAATTGCAGATGCATCTTTTGTACAATGATAATGCAGCCGTTTACATCCTCTAGACATTTTTATTGGCACTTACGCTCTCTGAACTCCGACCAACACTATTTCTGGAGTTAGGTCGAGGTGTAACGTACCTAAGATTCAGAGGCACAACTACTAATAAAATTTTAGAGGGCATAAGCCGCTACATCACCATAGCACAGATGGCGTATATGCAAATAACCGTAAATAAATTGACAGAGATCGTTGCACATATGTGTGAAGATTACTTGGTAGCATGCACCGCAACCGACACCATTTCTGTAGAGATTGCTTGCAGCAGATACATCGCCATCGTTGAGAGTTGCACCAAACGAGCCATATCCGCATGCTCCATCTATACGATGAATTAATCAACAAATAAGTATGAGATAAAGTCGTTCATTTAAGGATGTATACTAGCTTGAGACTAAAGTACTGAACCTGATGTGCCATTTTGCGCTGAGTTCGAATAGTAAGCAGCACTTGATTGGATGAAATCATCAGCTTTGATCAGAATTTGGAACTGAAATAGAGAGAGAAAGAACAAAACTAGGAACTTAGAAGAAAGAGCCATTGAAGAAATTAAAGTATGAAGCAAATGTTTGGAGACAAGTTGGTGATGAAGGGAAGCTTGGGCTTTGAGTATTTATAGGGAAATTAAAGCGTGTAAGTTTTTTTTTCTTTGGTAAAAATTCTCAGGCTTTGACATTCTCAGAAGTCATTTTGATGGGGATTTTCCACAACTAACCACTTCAACAATAAAGTTGGTACAAAAAAAAGTACGTGCACTTTTTTATGTTTGATCAAACCATATTTTAAGTTGTATATACAAACACGTTTTAATTCACCAAAAAAAAAAAAGGTGATACAATAGATACCATCTCCTTAATTATATCAAATTTTGTGTACCCTTTCTCTAAGTTTTGCCGTATGCTTGTTTCAGAGTTTTTTCTCATCTTGATCGACCATTTCAATACATTAAGAGTTATTACCATTTCATAATCATATGCATGTTTTCAAATATTAGTCCACGGGAACAAATTTTTCTCCGCAATAAACTACGTTCGATCTGGATGAAAATAAATCTGCCAAAAAAAAAACTTATACGTTTGTATCTTAATTTTTCTGTCTTATTATTAGCTTACTCGGTAGTTATCAAGTCTGCGGTAGCTATTTCGATATGAATGTTGGCATTTGAAACGAATATGGTAATATAAACTTATGTGATTACTTATGACTTCAGAAATATAGAATGTTTACATCAAAATGACATCCACAGCAATAGGAACAGTCAAATGCATAGTGCTATCTTACCAACTAACTGGGACAAGTTGAAGATTCTAGCACATATCTACAAAGAGTTAGGCACATCAACACATTAAACTCCCACTTTGATGTCTAAATCGAATCAATCCAAGGTTCCTTTGAATCCACCAGTGAATAGGAAACTAACAGGAAGATCACTTCCATTGGATGTCCCTGTTGTGAGTCGGAATGAAGCTTTGAGGGTAAAATGCATGTAGCTTTCTTGGTTTCAACCAAAGAAGTTAGGTAGGGGTGGGCACTTGGCCGGGTCCGCCCACGAGCCCACTCGTTGGGCTCGCTCTTGAGCTCGGCTCGACCCGGCTTGGAGTGGGACGGGCCCGATTCAGCCCGTGCTACAGTAGCGGGCCGCAGGACCGTGCAATGACCGGCTCGGCCCACAAGGCCTAGCGAGCGGGTTGTCCCTACATGTGAGAGGGATTGCTTGCTTGTCCCCTCTCGTGGGCTCGCATTTGGTTGGTAATAATATCTTTTTTCCTTTAAAGTTTATTGTAATTTATTTTCTCGTATTTTTGTAGCTAGTCGAACAGTACTATGCTACTCATTGGCATAAGACTCGCTCCGAACTGCATTAAATCTCAGTGTTTGTGATGGTTCCTTACGTAACTGTATGCAAAATATACAATTTTACTTAATAAAATTATTTTTCTTTTTCAAATTTTGTAATCATATCATTGTTAGTTTTTTATTTACGTATAATTCTTAAGTGTTAAAACAATATTGGAAAAACCTATTAAAAACAATTAAATAGTAAAAATGACAAAATAATAATAATTAAGTGGGCCAGATGGGCCGACCCGTTTCATGGCTTGTCTCGCGTGTTTTCGGGCCCGCNGAAAAAGTGGCAAAACAAGGCTTGCTCAACTCGCTGCGAGCTGTGGGCTAGCCCGCCTTGCCACTGAGCCCGGGACGAGCCAGCAGGACCTGTTGCCCACCCCTAAAGTTTGGCGATAGGCGGACCGAATTCATAGCCATTGATGCATAGCCATTGATGCAGACAGCGAGATGAAGTAATGGACGTCAGTCGTGAGATTAGGACGTTCAGAATCTTGCTCCGAATCTTTAAAAGACATTGAACAGTCACAAGATTGCATGATTCAGTGGCGTCCAACCACTTTCGCAAGCGACACGCATTAGCCTGAGCACACGCCAGGGTATTTTCTAGAGGTAAACAAATGCGGGGCATCATACAGAATCAACAACAGCTAAGATCGTCCATCATATTGTAAACCAATTTTGTTCAATCACCAATGAAGGGTTACATAATAATAAGAGAACACTATGATGTATCATCATAATAATAAGAGAACATCACATCAAAATTTACACAAACGCGTTTACATTCATTAACTGGATGAAAATAAGCACACGCAAGTTCCTCGCCCATATCAAAACACATGAATTTGCAAACCAACAACAATAAATAAAGAAAAGGAATCACTATAATTATACAGATACATGAGACGCAGCCAGACTACCGTCATCATTTTGCCCAGGCTACCGAGTCAATCTCATCTCTCGCAGATTTATACAGTTCAAGTCTCTTAGCCAGTTGTAGCCTCCTCTCCATCAAGGCTGGATCCTCGTCCAACATCTGAGAAAGCTGCTTTGCCTGAAAAAAAAATACAATATTCAGGTTACTAAATTATAAGAAGGCTTATTTTACAACAAAATTTACCCCTTTTTTTTCACTTTGCTACCCCAAATATATATTTTAACACTTTGTTATACTTTATCTTGATCCCTTTCGCTTTGATACCTTTGTCAGATTTCATTAGATTTCCTGATAAACTAGTATCGCTATAGCGAACATTTGGCTGTTTGTATCATAGAGACTGGGTAAAAAGGACCTAAATGCAATAAATCTAACAGAAAATGTAGTGAAATCAGGATGGGAATATCAAAGTCAAACTTGTATCGCTATAGTGGACATAAGCAACTGGGAAAAATGGACCAAGATCAAGATGTAATAAATCTAACAGAAAATGTAGTGAAATCAGGATGGGAATATCAAAGTCAAACTTGTATCACTATAGTGGACATAGCAACTGGGTAAAATGGACCTAAATGTAATAAATCTAACAGGAAATGTAGTGAAAGCAGGATGAGAATATCAAAGTCAAATAGAATCAAAACTTTGGGGTATCCAGTGTTCAAAAAATATTTTGGGGGTATCAAAGTGAAGAAACGGTAGACGCCTTATAAGAAATTTAAACATGAACAAACTGTAGATACAGATGGTCAAGCTTGAGCACCTCCTTTCTTCCAACTAGCATATAGAAATGATTGAGCAAATTGCGTTTAGCTTCTCTAACTTGACAATGAACCACTGCTTTAGGGACGGAAAGTCTCAGCGTTTCAGATACCATTCCAATATAAGACGACACATTTGAAGCAATCCTTCTAAAATGCCCCTCAGAATATCGATCTGCTGCAGGAGTGTTTGTAGCAGGGTTCCCCGCCTTCTCCACTTCTTGTGGAAGCTTTCGGAAGAAATCTACGGTTAAGTATGTTGATTCCATTTCGACCAAACGCAGTGTTGTCTTCTTACTCTCATCGCGGAATTTTTCCAAGGCTTGATAAGAAGCAGCTGCCAGTTCAGCTTGGAGAGTTGGAAACCTTTTCAACTCCTGATAGAAAAACTCAAGTTGATTACTATTCTACAGATAATTACAAAACCCCCTAAATTTATAGCACTTGACACACCTCAACTCTTCTATCACCACTTATCATCCTTAGGTTGATACTTTTAATGAACTTAACTTGCAAATACCCCCTAAAGATAATTACAAACTCCTGATAGAAAAAACACAAGTTGATTACTATTCTACAGATAATTTATAGCACTTGACACACCTCAACTCTTCTATCACCACTTATCATCCTTAGGTTGATACTTTTAATACCTCCCCAAAAAAACACACACACAAACCTCAAATATGAATTAAAACATGATAAGTGCTAATGAATGAGTGGGGGTTTATAAGTTGTAATGAATGTATAGGTGGGCCTTAAGGCCATTTACAATCTACCCTGCTATCTATATAGACTGGATTATGCTTTATCTGGTCTCTATAACCTTCATCAGTAGCACTTATCACTCCTAAACTCTATTACCAATTATCGCCCATTGGGGAAGATAGTTTGCAGATAACCCCCTCTTTCCCATGAATTGAGAAATGGCAAGTCCTAATGAATGAGTTAAGGGTGATAAGTGCTACTGAATGTATAGATGAGGTGGGCTATCCACAATCTAACCTACCACACACACACACACACACACAGAATTACCGGTGTCTTCCACCTTCATCAGTTCTCACCTGAGTCTCGCCTATAGATATCCTCACTAATTCTTTTAAAACAAAGTGAACCTGCAAAAGAAATAACAATAGGAACCATGGTTTAGTATTAAAACCTAGAATCAAGAAAGATGAAAGTAAAGGACCAATATGAGAAGGTAGCTTACTGCATCCACTGAAGCTTCAGCAGGGCCCTTAAAGAAACTGAGAGAACTTTCAATTAGGCGACGGTAACCTTGCTCAGGGGCAATCAAATGGGGCTGATAACCATCTGCTTGTGATACCACTTTTTTCACATTTTGAAGGGATAAATGACGGTCAAATGGCAGTTTCTTCAATGCAGTAGGTAGCTGATTATCAAAAACCCCATATATTCGATCACCGCCAGGTCGCCTATGATTAAAATGATCATATTTGAGATGCCAATATGGAAATGAATGATTTTACAAAGGCAACAAAAGACAGATTTATGTGAACAGAAACATTTTTTCTGTTAGATTTGCATTAGCACTGATTGCTGCCAGCTGTTGCCAAAATCTGAATGATCATCAGAGACTACCTGGTGGTTTGTAGATTATAATTTAAACTGATATTTATCACACCTTCTCTTTTCTTTAGTTCCGTGGATGTACGCCAAGGTTACATGTGACATGTGTATGGGCACAAGGCGGATATGGAACAATACAGATTTAGATACACAGTCTTAAAAGTAGTGAAGATGGATTTCCAGGGATGCATCAGTTAAATAATATTTGTTTTATATATTTGTGAAAAAATTTAATTCAATTGTGAACGAACTATGACACTCATAAAAGATTATCAATAAACTTATCAAGACTGATCTGTAAGTAAATATTATCCCAAGCAATGGCCTAAAAACACCAAAGGGGTCCAACGTATATATACACAACTTGGAAGTCAGATATAGGCAGGATAAGGGTCACGCATTCGTGCTAGTGTCTGTGACAATAGGTAACAAATGCATATTTATCACTTGTGCAGCTGAAGAGTTGGTGCATCAGACTGTGGAGATAAAGCCAGCGCCATAGCATGAATACATCAAACATCAGACTACATAGGGCCATATTCCTGGGGTATAACGACGCTTGTTCATGCTAATTCAGATGGCTTAAATAAGAATTTCCTATGGCTCCTCACAGTGCTATCAGAAGTTTGAAACCTAGTTCTTGATGCCATAAGGTTACATAGAAGAAGTTGTATAATAATTATGTGGCTACAATAGTTCCAATTTCGAAACTGAGTTTAGAATATAAAGGATATGTTTCCCGGTGTCTAGAACAATCAATTCTTCACCTGACCCTGATAGTCCCTGTACTCAAAAAGCCATGACCAAATTTACTTGCATATTAATTTTTTATGTAAAACATCTCCACAAGGACTCAAGGTTTACATGGATTAAAAGTAAAAAATATTGGAAAGTAAATACAACATGGAAACCAACTAAAAGTGTATCAAGTGCAGAGTGCTCCGATCTGCGCACCAAAAACAAGTTGCATATTAGCTTAGCCCTAGACGCCTGCAGCACATTAGCTTAGCCCACTTATTTTATTATTGTGCAAATTAAAAGAATGCATCCAGTTTACATTAGAAGCATGTCAGCTGGATATTAGTTCTCTAGATCCCACTCAATTTTTGGATATTAGTCCCTAAATCTTTCATATTCTGAAATTAGTCCCCCAAATCTTTTAAGTGTTTTGAAATTAGTCCCCCAAATCTTCATTTATTGAAATTCGTCCCCTAAATCTTTTAAGTGTTTTGAAATTAGTCCCTCTAGTTAGCACCAGGTTGAAAGATTTGGGAGACTAATTTCAAAACACTTAAGATTTGCAGGACTATTTTCAAATTGTGAAGATTTGGGGGACTAATTTCAAAATATGAAAGATCTGGGGGTCATATATTTAAAAACCCCAAAAATGTCATATTAAGCCCACGAGTTAAAGCCCACTTATATTTGCAAGTGAAATGGGTAAAAGAAAGAAGCTTCATCATTCATGCATAAAAGAGGACAAAACTGGCATCTTTACCCTCCATCCAAATGCTCCTTGAATATTTTATCAAATGCCCGACAAAGTTCCAATATAGTGTACAACTGAGCCTGGAGGAACACAAAAATATTTAGTCCCAGTTGCTTGACAAATTTATTATAAGTCTAAAATGAAATAATAATTTATTAAATGACTTACCCCAGCATCAACAGCAATGGGTCTACCAAGATGGTCCAATTCTGATTCAAGGTCATCAATGCTTTTATTTATCAATGATGTGATACTTGGAATTCGTGCCTTGATCACAGATTCTAGATGCTGAAAACACAGTTCAATTTTGTCAACTTACATTCTCCAAATTCATAAAAGTGGAATAATTTAACGGTAAAGAACAATGATCTGAATACCCTAGATAGAAGTTTCGCAAGATATTCAGAACCCATTTTACTGGCTAAGTGTGAATATTCAGGACTACTTGAGAAGTACTCTCGTTCTCTTCGCCTGGCAACCATCATGTCAACATTCTTATTTATATCTGCCTGTGAACGATTAACAATTCCAACCCAAGGGTGCTGCAGCCTGTAAGATCTTCCTTCAAGAACCTTGAAAAAGCAAAACCATAAATAGATTATTGAACTTCAAAATGCATTATATGTACAGTAAAAGGCTCTAAGGTTACATCTGTATACTGTCATTTTCCTGGGAATCAGTGGGTTCACATCAGGAATCAGTAAGTTCAAATCTGAGAACATGACAGTATCCTTAGCAACTTACATCGAGTGCATTAGTTCCCTTGTCCATTAGATCAAGTTTTGTTACGACTCCAAATGTTCTGTCCCCTAGCAAAATTTTAGATAGCAATTTAGCATTATGCGAGTAATAATAAAAGCTCATAATTATGGCTGGCCCTGCTATAAACACAAAAGATGACCAGAACTGCAAAAATGTTTAATACCATACCTGTTGGATCAACTTCCCTAGCAAGTTTGATGGCATCAGATGTCGCAATATCTTGATTCGCAGGGGAAATTGCTAGTATAATACAGTTCGGCTACAAAATAAAAATGTATTAAGATTACCACTGTAGACAAGTTTCCATAATCAGTATCCAGAAGAAAATGCATATTGAATTTAAACGAACATCACTTATTGAAATAACTTTTACACATAAATTTGTAGGAGTAAGGATCAGCGTGTGTTGCACTAAGGAATGATTTTGATGTCGTCAATTATAAATAATATTCATTGTATAATAGCCGCAAAATTAGGTTGAAATGTGTTCCTCCCATCCCCACAAAAGATCAACCTCATGAAATATGTATCTCCCAAGGCAAATAACTCAGACATGTATCTCACAAGGTAACTTTTCCCCTTTTTTTATCTGTAGAGCTTGAGTAGATCAGGTGATTTTTTGCTTTCTCCTTAGGATTTCACAATTCTAAATTTAGTACATGATTTCATAATTTTGCAAGACATTTGCAGTATTTTCAGTTTTTTCATTATTTTAGCTTTAATTCATGATTTTCGTGATTCTGACCAAAATTGGTTTCTAGGCTTTGGTTTGGATCAGCAACCTTCAAAACTAATCAAAATAACAGAAACCCAGAAGTTTCAACCGAAACCTCAATCCTCGATAATTAATAATTTCGAGGAATTTAAAACATGTGCATGTATTCAACCCAAAGACGATCCTATAAGCCTGCTGGGGAAAGATAAAAATAACATAGTAGCATTCAAACTGTCATCTTGGCACAGGTAATCAAATTGAACTTTGAAGCCATACTGAATACCTTCTCAACATATGTGCGGACCATGCTTTCAATATCCTCAACAATGGTCTCAGGCTGCCCCTCTACAAAAGATAAGTCATTCTTATATTGGCGAAAGTTAAAACGAACGAGGTTTAATGTAACATTATGTTCTTAAGGGGAAAAAACATTACCTACAGCAACCTTAGTTAGACCAGGTAGATCAATCAGTGTTAAATTCACAACTGCCAAATCAAAAAAGCAAAAGGGTCATACTGGGAATATAAAAAAGTAAATCAATGAACAGAAAACTTGCTAACTTAACTTCATGTCCAATCTAAAACTCCCGAAACCAGCAAAAATCCTAATACATAATAAAGGCAAGCCTTAACATAAGTTCAAATTTTGACATGTGTCACTTTTACCTAGATAAGGATAAGAAGTCAATCAATTCAGAGGCAAAACATATCAAAACAAAAAAGGAAAATCTATATACATGTTTATCTGTTGCGTGTTATCATTTTCCCCAAGCAAGTAAATCTATAGGCCAGGCAATTGGCGCAAATAAAAAGAACATCAAGGAAAAGAAAAATGTGTCAGTCATAAAGGTAGATCTTTCTTTTATTAGCTCAGTAACCAGAATCACTCAACAGTAGAGCATACCATATTCTCATTACTAAATAAGGAATAAAGTTTCAAAAAGGACAATTGACAGACAATAATCTCATTACCGTTTGGAGAGTAAATACTGAGATGAATGGGAATTGGTGAAATTTGCTTGCTTTTTCCTGTCATCCTATCAGTTTCATCTTGAATTTCCTTGCGTACAAGAGCTACATTATAGAATGCAAATGTTAGATGATAATAATAACCAGATTGAATATTCGAAAACATTAGATCTTATCTCAAAAGGTACTGGTAAAAAATAAAAATCATTGAGAACCATGAGGCATGGATATGTGAATCATGTGTCTCTATTCAGAATACAAATGTTATATGTTAGTGACATGAGCCATTAAAAATGCATATGCTGGTTCCAGACTATGACATTATATTTGAGAAACAAGTTTTATAAGGGAAATTGGAGCTACATCATCTGGTTGCTATTTTGCTAGAGGAAAAAAAACACCCGTACATCTTACGTTAACATAAAGGTCATGCACGTGTAGGAAATAAACTCAACCAAACCCTAGAAAACTTGGACGAGAAAAGACATTCATTGTGTGAGATTTAGATTTATGAGTACCATAGTACTAGGGCAAGCAGACCAAAAGCATCAAATATTGTGTCCATTAATCCGGCTAGAAGCATACGCATATTCAAGTTTGTACAAAAAAGAAAGTACTGCAACAAATAATATTACCGATGAAATGAAGAAGTAAAAAATTAAACTGTTGACTGTAGATGATATGTTAAGCATTAAATAATTAAGCTAGAATCTTGATAAACTATTTTATGGTAGCTACACTAATTGTATCCATCCATGGTATATAACCTAAAACATCGCTCTAACAGAAATTTGAATGCTTAACAGAGAGAAGATAATTCCACATTATCATATTGCCACTTTCCAGAACTACAGCTTAAGTTCAGTCACAAATCACTGAAACTTGCCGTCAAAACTGGCTGGCCAAGATTAAGAAGACTGATATTCCTCACAAAAGGACAGGAACTTAAGGGGGGAAAAGACTGGAAGTAAGTGTCTAAACTACAAAGAGTAAGCTTGAAAAACCAGAGAGTCCAAAATTAGGATTCTACACTAAACACTGTTCTCAAATTCCTCAATAACTTACCAAAATAAGGATAAATTCCAGAAAAAACCCCTCACCCAAACCTTCAATAACACCCATCAAGCCTCAATTCATAGAGAGAGATGGGTTATCTGCAATTAAAATTCTAAAATTGTGAATGCAGGGGTAATAAGTTTCACTAATATAGTTGAGGAATGATTATTGTTACTGAAGGTATAGATGAGGGAGTTATCTGCAATTTACCTAATAGCCTTTAGTAAGCACAAGTTTCTACAACAAAAAACTCAAACCAAGCACAGACAATATCCATACCAACAAATTAATCAAACCAATAACCTTATTCTCTCAAACAAACTAATCAGTAATAAACTCACAAAAAATGAATCAAAACAGTAACCTTTCTCTCAAATAAACTAACTGATAGCAAAATAACTCACAAAAATCAGTGAACTTTCTCCTCGGCATGTGAAGAAACTCCGCATACTCAGGCTGCCCGTCCTCCGTCTTGTGAAGTTGGAGCACCAACGGCCTCCTCGTCACAATCCCTTCAACAACAACAAAAACGCATTTTTACCCCAAAAAGCACAAAAAATTCCAAAATTCCAAAAAATATTCAAAAATTTCACACCGACTCTCACCAGATCCACGAGGGAGGAAATCACGCCCAACGATGCTCTCCAAAACCGAGGATTTCCCCGAGCTCTGCAATCAAACAAATCCCATCAAGATCGAGCTCAAAGATAGATCAAAAGAAGAAAATGCAAGATCTGGTAGAGGAAGAAAGGGACCTGGCCTCCGACGACGGCGACGGAGGGGAGAGCCTCCCATAGAGTGGGAAGAGCGCCGTCGGCGCCGCCGTGGTCGCCGAGCACAGTGCAGGCTCTCTGGATCCTGTTGACGAGGCCGATCAAGCTCTCCATCGTCGTCATTTTCGAAACCCTAACCCTAGAATTTTGAAAGGGATCGATTAGGTGAGGAGAACGGTGTTATAATGGAAATTTTTGAAGTAGACCTTCGAGCTTAAGAAGCTGTAAGAGGGAGCGGCACGTGCGAGGGAGCGACTTCAACGGGCCGTGGACTGGGGTCAAGTTCGCTGCGACACGTGAGAAGCGAGCGGAGCGGGTTTCGGATCCGTTGGGTCGTGGGCCTTACGGAGCGCTGGGAATATGCCTCCCCGCCGCCAGCTTTTGCTTTGCTTCGGATGGTAACGGGCCGGGGTCGAAATATTTTCATACCCGATCCGGATAAAATTGATTCGAATCTAACTTCGTATTGTTTCATATCCATCCATGGCTCTCCAGCTAAATATTCGGTTCATCTGTTCGGATTAGGATTTCATCATGATGCCAAAAGAGATGATGAATGATTTGTTTTTTTTTTTTCCAGAGAATAAAATGCGATAAGATTCTATTATTACTAGCTGCATAAAAGGGTTTAATCTGAGCACAATGGTTTACAAGACATTGTGGACTTGGACGCGTAAGATTTAATAAGGTAGACCAACCAAAAAAAGGAAAAAAAAAAAGAAAAATGTGAAACATGACTTATTAAAAACTTTTAGTCACATCCCATTTAATTAATTCATCGTGAGATTAAGGGGGTGTTTGTTTTAACTTTTTTCTTTTTTTGATATAGGGTGGATTTCAAATTCTAGGATGAAAAAGTGAGTTTTTTTTAGTTTATGGATTCTATAACCATTGTTTGATTCAAAATAAATTTTGGGATATTGAATACCCAAATAATAAAAAACGAATATATTATAGCATTTGTGAAATCCCTTCTTTGAGAGATGATTTATGCTAAATTTCAAATTCTAAAATTTGTAATGCTACAATTTGAGTTTGAAACAAACAAAATACAAATTATAGGATTACATATCCCAAAATATTGATGAAACAAACAACATTTTAGAAATCACAACCCATGTTAAAAAACCTATGGATTTCAAATCCCATGGTAAAATCCATATCCTAAAATTATAGGATTTGAAACAAGCACCCCCTAACCCTCACATGAGATGCAACTCAAGCATCAAAAATGTTTGTATCCCCTCCACTTGTTTGACAATAGAAAAATCACTGCTCCAACATAAACTTCTGTTACTATGTAAGAGCATGGGCAGCAAGCTCCCAAGCTCCGCTCTCAGGTCCGACGTGGCCTCAGTCTCCGATTTATCCCCTTCCAACAGCCTCCGAAGCGCTAGCTTCGAAGCTCCCAAGCGCTCCACAAATTTGTGGACCGCTTGGGAGCTCCCAACTGGGAGAGGATTTACAAAAACCCCCCTCCAAAATCAGAAATCGGCGGTGGGATCGGAGACTTCGGGGTGGGATCGGAGACTGAAGGCGGAGATGATGGCGGAGATGATGGATGATGGCGGAGATGATGTCGGAGATGATGGCGGATGGCAGAGATGATGGCGGAGAGGAGATGATGTCGACGAATTTGATGGATGATGGCGGAGATGATTCTTGATGGCGGAGATGATGGAGGAGATGATGTCAAAGGGAATGAGTTGTTTGAGGTGAAGATGAATTTGGGGTTGGGTCTGTTGTCGAAGGGAGAAGATGAATTTAATTTTTTTTTAACGGAGTGCGTTGTTTGAGGTGAATGAGTTGTGAAATTTTCGTTGAAATTTTCGTTGAAATTGTGCGGAGATGATAATCGAACGTTGTGAAAACGAGCCGTTGAAAATTCATGTCGTTGGAAAATGATACGTTGTGAAAATTGGACCGTTGAAAAATATTACTGTTGAAAATTTACTGTTGTAAAAAACATCTATAAATTCACATCTCACTACTCAAATTATTTCACACAACTCTCTCATAAAAAAAACTCTATATATCCCTATCAAATTACAAATCTCATGGATCTCTCACAAAACTATTATTCGCATCTCCTTACTGGTGAAGGATCGACCTTATACTCGCCGTTCTATACAGAAGTCGGAGAAGAAGGTCATCCCATCGAGTTCTCGCAATCCGCAACACAACAAGTGTCATCCCAAGAAACACCGACCACAAAGAAGAAGAAGGCTTACACGCGGTCCGAAAATTAGACTGTCCACGAGGATAAGCTTCTTGTGTCTGCTTGGCTGAACACGAGCCAAGACGCCATCCAAGGTACGGGGCAACACAAAGATAAGTTTTGGCACAGAGCTAACGACTACTTTATCCAATACTCCACCGATCCAACGAATCGCACACCAAACCAAATGATGCACCGTTGGTCAACGATTCAACTATCTGTCAACAAGTTCTGCGGGTGCGTTGCTCAGATTGAAGGAAGACCCAGATTTGGTACGGGAATTATTGACCAGGTAAATATTTAACTTATATGTTTTTATGTAAATATTTAACTTATATGTTTGCTTATTCTAAATTTAACTCTTGTGTAGACTGCAGAAGTAAAAGAATTATACCAATCCCTTTATGGTAAGCCATTCGTGTTTGACCATTGCTGGGTTGAGTTGCGTCATCACCAAAAGTGGATCCAACAAATGGAAAATTACAATAAGATTCGATCACAGCCGAGAAGAACCACGGACTCTGATTCCTCACCAAACAATTCCATGCCAGCGACCCCCATCGAGTTGAACATTGACTCGGATGATGTTATAGCAAGGCCTGAAGGGAGGAAAGCGGCAAAACTCAAGAGGAAACAAAATGTGGACAAATCTGAGTCCGCTAAGTCCATTATGGGAGAGGCTTTCGCGTGGATGAAGCAAACCAACAAAGAAAAAATGGAGCTAAAACAGAAGAAACAAGATGACGATATCATGAAGATCGATCTCTCAACACTCAATTCAGTTCAACGACAATACTTTGAAATGCGTCAGGCAGAGATATTGGAGAGGTGGATGTCCAAGGGTTCTTCCTAATTATCATATATTGTACTCGCATCGCATCCTCATTAGTTCTTCCTAATTATCAAATATTATCTTATATTAGATTTATGATTGTACTTGAAGTTGAAAATTTTGGCATTGAATGAAAACAACTACTTTATTGAAAATAAAATTGGCGTAGTACAACAACTTGAACTCCTTTTCTGAAATTAGACATAAAGAAACTTAATCCTCGGCGATGGATCCCTTAAGCTGCCACAGATGCTCGATCAAATCATTTTTTAGTGATTTGTGTATTTGCGTGTTTCTGATCCGATGATGATTTTGGATGAACTCGGTTAGAGGCACCGTTTGCACATGAGAAGGTTCAACGACTGGTATCGAATCGGTAAAGTCGAAGTTGTTGTCCAATTAACAATCACGTTCATCTTCAACGATCATGTTATGCATTATGATACAAGTTGTCATGATATCTTTCAGCACTGTGGACCACTCTGGGTAAATCCCGTCGGCGAGATAGTATCCCATATTATACTCGTGGCCATTGACAGTATAGTTGCACGGTGAAGCTCTTCCCTCCGCAAGTTGTGCGAAAACCGGTGAATGATGTAGAACATTAAGGCATTGTGAGACCCCGGCAGTCCAAAGAAGGCATGCCATATCCAAAGATCTTTGCTAGCTACGGCCTCCAAAATAATTGTAGGTTCATGAAAATGTCCAGTATACATACCTTGCCAGGCAGTTGGATAGTTCTTCCAAGTCAAGTGCATGCAGTCAATGCTCCCAAGCATACCAGGAAAACCTCGTTGTGAGCCTTCCTCGAGCAGGCGTGCAACGTCTTCATTAGTCGGTGCACGAAGGTATTCCTCTCCAAAGATGTTGATAATCGATCGAACGAACCTCTTCACGCTCTCAAGCGACGTACTTTTACCGATCCGAACGTAGTCGTCAACGGAGTCAGCGGATGCTCCATATGCGAGCATCCGCATAGCTGCAGTAATCTTTTGAAGACTAGATAGTCCTAACTGTCCAGCACCATTCCTCTTTTGGACGAAGTACTTGTCATGTTCGACGACTGCGTCGTGGATTCGAAGGAATAACAATCGCCTCATTCTGAACCTTTGACGAAAATAATAAAGAGGATAGGTTAGTGCGTCAGCAAAATAATCTTGGAATAACCGATTGTGGCCTTCCAGTCGGTTTCGATGGAGCACGATACGTCGTTTGTGTTGAACTGAAGTTGAACATTTCTCTTGTTCTTCTTCCTTAACGACAGCAGCTCCCATAAGAAAGAACGTCTCTATCATTTCATCATCGCTAGAGCTAGATGAGCTAGACATTTTATTTTGGGAGATGATGGGTTGAGGAGAGAAGCCGTCGAATTTTATAGGCATCAGTCGGTTGACGGTCAAAGTTTGCGATACCTCGAACTTCGTGCCCAGCCTCGAAGACCGTGTGTTACCTCGAAGACCGTGTGCGCTCCCTCGAAGACCGTGGGTTGCCTCGAAGACCGTGTGCGCTCCCTCGAAGACCGTGGGTTGCCTCGAAGACCGTGTGCAACGGTTAGAAATAAAATACAAGAGATTTAAATATAATTAAATGTAATGGGTGAAATATTAAAATAGAAGAGGGGTTTTTTTGATATTGTTGGAGCTCCTAACTAGGAGCTTGTTGGAGCTCCATAAAAGAAGGAGTGCCTCCCAAGGTATAATTTGTTAATTTTTTATTTTAAAAAGCTTGAGAGGTCTTGAGAGCATGCTGACTAGGACTCCCAACTGGGAGCTTGCTGCACTTGCTCTAAAATGGTCATTACACATCCATATAACTGCCAGCATAATTTCTGTAAATTCAATTTCTTTACTAAAAATAAACAGACGATAGACTTCCACCTATAGAAGTTGATCTTCTAATATTTACTTGTTGTGAATGCGTATATGAATCCTGCAAAACAACATATATATTTGAACCAATAATTACCAGCTTAAGGTAACATAATCAGTTTAAGAATCACAAATATATATAATTGTGTAATTTGAAAACACACCCTGAAAAGAGGCTAATTCAAACAGACTTCACAAATTTAGATATCATCCCAGTAGTATTCTTTCACAAATTTAGATATCATCCAATGGCGACTCCTAAATGACTTGTACACTTGTACATCCCCTGGAGTGCTGAGTCAGTAGATATCATCTCAGTAGTATTCTTTCGATTTCGAAGGCCCAATTAATGGACCGTTATTTGAACTAACTCAAGAGATCACACAGCAAAAACTTTTTTATGGACAATACCAAATATAATTGACAGTAGAGGACTAAGGAGGCATCGAATGGCCTCCAACCTTGCATACAGCAAACACCTATAAGTAGAAAAAGACATTTGAGTACAGTGGGTTATAACAACACTCGAGTAAATCTTCGTATGTCAAGAAAATATACTCTTGTAATAATACTTACCTCTAAATATTCTTTTCCGAGAAATATATTATACATATACAGGCTTGGCCTTTTAAACTTTCAAACAACTAGTCCATCTCTATTGAACAAAACATGGAGCTTAGTCCTGCCTATACACCAAGGTAGGGTAGACAGGATTCCACATATTGTTCTGCACATACTCCAGAGTCTCCTCCTTCAATATAAAACAGAGTGATATCAGCAAGAAAATCATAATAACCGAAGCTTATACACAAAGACGCATATGATACAACATTATATATCAACCTTAGTAAGTTTCTGAAGCTCCCGGGGATCCATGTCACGGTACCCCTCTGCTAGATCCTCTGCCACAGCTTCTCTGACTACAGCTGCAGCCACTTCCTTGGTTATGTCCCGAATGCTGCACAAATAACAATGTAGGATTATTTATTGGCTTTAAGATGCAAATTGGAGATGATGAATGTCTAGATTTTGTGCAGGATAATTTACATATTTCTATTTCATTTTTAACATCTTCATCCACATCGGACATTAGAGGCCGAAACTAACATGTTCTTCATTTTTTATCCGACCGTCTAACTATCCCTCTAGATAAACTATACCATAATAGATAACTGAAACATAACAACAGAGGTAAATAGTAATAGACAACCATTATGGGCTTCTTTATGCAGTTAGATGATGAATTTCAATATTTCTGTATCAGGATGCTGCGCTTAGTAGGTATCAATAAAAAACTTTCCCACTGCTATAACTTTGCTTCGAATCTGATTAAGAAACTCAAATCTGATTCCAAATATTTCCTCAGATAGGAAATAAAATTGAATTTTAGCTGCTTTCTAGATGTCATGGGCTGCATAACACACCTCGATATTGAAGGATATATGATCCCTTGAAGAACTTCCTCTTCTTTCATATACGCAGCAAGACTGGAGGGGTTGTCAAACATGCAGAAAGAAAAACATTAGAAAGAATCTATATAAACAACAAATTTCAGTAGCATAGGATAGAGAGGATAAACTGAGACTACCATTCAGCTGCAGCCTGAAGCATGCCATCAGAGATAACACGTGCACCAGATAAAAGGGTACCGAGCCCTATGCTGTAGGAAGAAAGCAGGACAAATAAGAATTGGTATAAAACACATTTGTGTCAGATACAAAGTATATAGCTCACCCCGGAAAGAGATACATATTATTTCCCTGGTTGCAGCGGCCAATCTTACCATCCCCTGCAAAAACAAATAGATTTAATCATAAGAAGGAAGAGAAAAGGAAAAAAAACAAATGAAACATTTTTTAAAATGGTATGCTTCTTTAATGTGTAAACATATGGAAGAATTCTCCAAATCCATACCATGGTTCGCACACAAGTTACAAAAGGAAGTAAAAGAACAACTATTTGTGCTATTTTATTATCTTTGAATCACTTCATGCAAACGACTCCAACGAAGGATTTTTAAGGGTTCCAAGACAGTTGGGACAAGCTGGATAATGATTTAAGCTTTTAAAATGTTTAGCATTAAAAAATTTACAAAAAAAATATGAAACATCTTTCTTCCCATAACTCTGGTGAATGGATTTGTACTTTCAAACTCTGGTGTCAAAATTTCCTATATATTACTAGTGGAGAGGGGAAGGAACAGAAGGTCACAAACTAATAACAAAAATTAATATTGTATCATACGAAAACCGAATTGATTAACTTGAAAGAACTGTGTTAAGACATACCAAGATTGACATCATGAAAAGGGCTTCCGCTGGCAAATATGACATGCTCACCCAAAATAGAAAAGGCTTCTTCAGGTGTGCATTCAGCTATTTTGTGAAAGGATACCAACCATCATGAGTAAAGGAAGACGGGAAAATCACAAATAATAAAGAAGAGATAATTCAGTTCCACATACCATTTTTTGTAGGATTTGACATAGCAAAAATTGCTGGTCGGGTAGAAGAAGAGTCTTTAAGGGCTTCTAAAACCTGCATATCATAAATCATACTGAATTAATCCATCCTAAAAACATTTCTTGCTCTGTATATCAAATTGAAACTTTGTGAAACCTTGGATAAAAAAAATGACAACCGGTATGAGGGTTATGAAAGCATAATTTAATGGAATTATATGAATCGGAGTAAGACTCTAAAGAACCTAATTAGACGGTCCACATCGATAAGCCATAAACAATACAATGATATGAATTATTAGATATGCAAGTATATACAAGACAGTACTTAGAACAGAATATAATAACCTTCTGAAAGTCGAATGGATGTAGCAGAGGACACACATAAAAAGTACCAAGTGAAACCACATTCATTAGTAAGCCATAGAAGAATGTCATGGTATGCTAGATGGATAAATATAAGCCGATACTTAGTTAATTCACATAATACAACCTAACAAAAAGTCATATATGTTTGGGATGACCGGTGAGTTTGAGTTTTGCATTTTTATTTGCTAGGGAACCATTCGTCACTGCCCGCCACTTTTAATAATTTTCAACATGCTCATTTGTATGAAGCATAGTATTTGGCTCCATTAGTTCACAAGCTGAAATCCTCAAGGTAGTACACAAAATATGCTCTGGAACCACCTGAACAGTCACTGGAAACCTAATTGCATTTGGAACATTTGCTGCAATCAACCAATTGCATTTGGAAAACACATGATTCCTAAGTTAAAATATTTAAATTCATTGAAAATGAGAAAAAAAGGTTTCCCTAGT